AATGCGGGCATTAGGGAGGATGGAATTGTGAGAGACATAGTCGATAGAAGTTAACTGTTTGTTTTGTTTTTCATATTTGTTACTTGGAACAGAACTGAATGGTCCTCCTTTTTAGCCAGGTATGCTTATGGAGTGCAAAGCAAAGTCGAAAAAAGTTAACTGTTTGTTTTGTTTTGCATATTTCTTACTTGGGACTAAGATGGTTCTCATGGTTAGCTCATAATATTGACTTACCCGATTTACCATTCTTGTCAATAGAATCTAGGCCGTCTAGTGGGTATCCTGAACAAGTCATGCGTCCATAGGACCAGTACTCCTGTTGGAGAACAATTCAAAAAACTCGTTTAAATCTTCTCTGAGTCTGTGGTTTTCATGAAAGACAGGCTCCTTAGCAACACGACGCATGCGTATGACGCCATTCTGATGTAAAAACTACTTCAGATAGAAAATAACCCGAAAGGAAGAGTTTTCTAAGGTAGAAAACATCAAATAATAAGTCGAAAATAAATGAGGATAACAAAACGGAGTTAGATTGTGACCGGGTAATTATGAGTGCAACGATCGCGCTTTTTACAGTAAGAAACTCTTTGACGGCTCCGGTCATTTTTCCTTTGTTAGCTTGCAAAAAAGATAAAAAAAACTGTCTTTTGAAGGAAACTTATACAGTTTTCACTCACGTGGCCAGCAGCCATGCAAACTTACTGAGCAAAAAAACTGTTATATAACAAATGAATTCAACTCCTACAGGATTGGTTTGGTACACCAACATGGCTACCGTTTCATTGCTTTGGGACAACAATATGGCTGCTGTGACGTCATGTGAAAACACTCTGTTCCTTACCATGCTTTGATATTCGAGAATTTCATGGAACATCTCTTTTCTTCCCAACTTAGCAGCCAGCGTGAGAGGTGTAAGTCCCAAGTTATTTCTGATGAACGTGTCTCCACGTATCTTGTGTCTTCTCTGTGTGGCATGAAAAAACATGTCCTACAACGAAAGAATGCTTGATCAATATAATAAAATAGTCTTACTGACATTTGACAGTGATTTTTTCCCCCATGGAATTTGACCCGACTGCATACTGTACAGATCAGTGAAGGCTATACCACCAAGCTTTAAGGAAGTAATTTGACACTGTATCTCATTCCATGTCTGCACCAGTTTCAACGTGAAAGAAAGAAAGAAAGAAAGAAAGAAAGAAAGAAAGAAAGAAAGAAAGAAAGAAAGAAAGAAAGAAAGAAAGAAAGAAAGAAAGAAAGATCGCAACGTAAAGACCTCCTCCAAGTCCAGGTAGAAAGTGACTGAAAATCACCCGGAAGGAAATTGAAGGTGCATCCTGGCGAAGTTGCTTATCAATGAGAAATATGTCTGCGATTTGTTGCGCTCACGATAAGCTCGACAACCCACCGAAACCCATAGGAAATAGTTCAGCCAGTAAAAACTATCCTCTAAATATTTTTTTTAGCTTACTATCTTGTTGTGTATGACACACAAGTGTAATACGGTGTTGCCAAGCGTGTCCTGTCTGTTTGGATCCGCGCCCCTCCTTATAAGGTAGTCGTACATCTCCTTGTTCTCGAAACACGCTGCAAAGGATGCTGGATATTCACCGTAATAGGCATAACCTGTTGAAAACAGCATCAGTGAGACATTAACGACTTTTAAAAGTCACGGAAAGGACTCCTCTAAACGCGGTATGAGACAGGCTTGTATCTGAAACGCAATACCAATAAACCCCCAGCTCTCTGAGAAGATCAACGCTATTAAACCTATCACTATTGTTTTTATTAGAGCGATTTTCAATTGAGTGTCGTAAAAGCAAAATCAAACCAATAACTTACCAGTTAGACTTCTCAGTTAGTCTCAAACCTTAATAAAACCAAAACCAAAACGAAAGCAATTGTCTAACTACTTTCAACACTCAATTGAAAACCGCTCAATTAGTGACATTAAGAAGAACTAATACCCATTGTTTCTCAAGACAAGGCATACCTCGTTTTAGCTGATACTCGATAACGCGGAGACACGAAGACACGAAGACCGAACTTGAGCCCAAACAGAAGTTTTTCGAACTCCAATCAACAAAACCAAGAAAACAACAAAGTAACAAAACCAGGAACGAAGAATGTGCGGCTTTTGACCACTTACCATCGTAATTCGTTTCTTGTTTTATTTTGTCCTTGCAGTCCTCCGGCATAAAGAATCTTCCTCTTGCTCGTGCATGAACATCAGCTCCACATTGACCAACCAGGAGTTTGAACGACTGTAGGTCTCCATTAACAATCGTGATGTGAACAGCTGTCTCACCTGCAGCGTGTAAAAGATAAAAAAAACGATGAAGAAAAAGACAACCTCTCACATGTTTTCAACAAAGAGTTTCTGTTAGCTTTTCATGCAGTCATGCGACTGGCATTTACTAGGAAACACTGCTATAAATAGCTCATGATGGGCATGACTAAGCATATGAGCATCATGATACAGTATACATGGACTCTCCTGTTGCTTAGCTCTTGATAGGGTAGCCTTTGAACAGGCTTCCAAGTAGGCTCGATTTCCGCCTCTCCCGGGGAGGAGTGCGGGCTCCTTTCCTGAACAGCGGCTGCTCCTCCAAGTGAAGATCTTCTTTCCCAGATTGGGCTCGGCTCGCTCGGTTTCCCGATTTTTTCTTCGCCCTAAATCCAAATAGTAAGCGTGTTCACAGGCTAGTGATAGAGTAAGACTGACAAATCTTGATCATTTTCTCACCATAGAATTCATGGCTTTCATACTGATCCAGAGCCATAGTAGGATAAACTTTCAGCAATGCGCGCGCCATCTCTGCCATCTGTGGATTGTTGTTTAGGAAACACAAGTGCAGTGCTGTCTCACCCAGTGCCCCGCGGTGATCAAGATTCCAGCAAGCTTTGCGGGGTGTATCATCTGGGGCGTCACGACATTCGACTGCTCCATGACTGTCGGACTAGAAAGTAGTTCATTTGTTATAAGAGGAAGAGGATGTTTTTAAAAACGGAAAAACGGAAAAAGAAAACCGAAGGATGGGAGAAGAGAGGGAAGGAGGGAGGGGGGAGGTGGTAAGGGAGAGAGGGAGGAGGGAGAGAGAGGTAAAAGGAAGGAACTTACAGTAGTGGCCATTGTCGTCCCCTGTGCTACTCGTTTTGAAATGTTGTTTCAAACAGCTCCCTCCGTTTCGCCGACCACGTGAGCAGACGAAACGGAGGCTCGTGGGAATGAGGATGAGTAATAGCTAATTAGCGACAATTCTAGGATGTCTTAACACTATTTTATCAGTGGCCTAACAGGACACTTTAGTTTAGAGTATCGATTTTAGTCACAGATCCTACTTGGAGGGAAGGATCTAGAAATACCGAACGTCGGAGAGAGAGTTCTTCATCGCGCTGTCACAACTCAGTTAACTTTACCTGTGATTCCCTCTCATTCTGCCATTTTTTGACCTCTTCTGCAGTGATCTCTTTTCCATCCCCTTGTTCATAAAGGTACGGCTGAAGTATCTTGTCATCTCGAAGCTTTCTCACGAATCCAGACTTGCCGCTTTCTTTCCAGATTTGAACAAATTCTGTGTTACCTTCCAGGCCTTTCAGGTCAACAAACGTATACAGTTTGTTCTCCAGTTTTCCTCGTGTCTGACGCTTCCAAGCTTCATCACGATCCTCTCCTTTCTCGCCGAGCACTTTATAAGCGCAGTTACCCATGACCTCTTAAACCAGGACTTCCACCTGTGGTTGAAAACATGAAACAAGAGTTGAAGCAACTTAACTTTACATAAAATATATATAAGACTGATGGAAAAAGCTCTTGAAAATGTCCAAAAGCTGGCGTAACCTAGGTGTTTCGGGCTTGCCCTTCTTCAGTATTTTCTTAGTCCTTCCTCAGTACGCTTAGCGCCTCTTCTACATACATACCGTGGCTGAAGACGGGCTAAGCCCGAAACGTCTCGTTTACGCTAAGTATTTGACATTTACAAGAGCTTTTTCATCCTTAAAGCTACTTTACCGTCATGTAGTGTCACGCATCAAATGAGTTTTTGTTGTTGTTGTTGTTATCATTATTGTTACTATTAGGAGAGTCCACTTAGAACTGTCGGACATTGATTTAGATATCGAAAAAAGACATGCAAATATTCGTTAAGGCAATTGAGAATGCTATTTCTGGGGAACTCTAGCCGAAGCCACGAACACTGAGCCAAGAAGTGGACCTGCATATAGCTACAGTATATTTTTAAAGTAGAGTTTTTGCCATTTAAATGTGTAGAGTATTTTTTACTATTATTATTATTATTATTATTATTATTATTTGCTTTTTTGCCCATTTCTAAGGGTTTTGCATTTGCGTAGACTCGTTTTACGTATGAATCACCTCCTACTCTAAGAGCTGCCAAGAGAGCTTGGTCGTAGGCTAGCATTTGTTAGTGTAATGTAACACAGATTTTCAAGACGAAAAAGAAAAAAGTTCAAGATTAGATTAAATTTGTAAGTCTTCAAGTTATAAAAATATTCCCAATTTCTTTTTTCGAGTATTTCGTTGTGAAAGGGCAACTCAAAAATGGCCATTTTTTAAAAATCAATATTGTTTACTAATTTTTATTCATAAGGGACATATTTCTGGCTGTTTCTGGTAGCGACGCGGACTTCGTGACCCTCTTCGTGACCCGAAATTCTAAACCCAGAAAAGGAAGTTGTCACTGGAGTTTTCAGATGATCACGAAATCCGTGGAATAATCCACTACTAACTTGATCAGTTTACTTTTAACAAGTTAGCCAGGTGTCAGTTGCCTGTGTTTTCCACTACGTTTCCCTAATTGTACGCTTTAAAATTTTGAATCCCAGCCTCTTTGTATCTTGTATGGAAATAAAATAAATATTTGTATTTATTAGCACTTAAGTTGCTGAGGATTGAACACTGCAAACTTTGTTTGCCGAACTGTCGACACTAGTAATCAAACGGTACGGCTCTGTGCCATTTGAGGAAAAAGCCCCCTAGAAAACTAATATTATCAGTTGTTAATCAGTTGTGAAGTACACATGTCGTAGTTCAGTGTGTTATAAGTTCCTGTTTCAGCTGTTTGAATGAGTTCATGTGGAGCCCTGCTTCGCTTCCGTTCTACTGTAAACTTATATGAAGGTCTCACAGTTACCAGGTTACGCTGATATATTCCTTAAAAATGAGACTTGAAGAAAACATGGTTGAAAATAACTTACAGTTGATAAGAAATCATATCACAGTGTTATAATCGCTTGAAGGAAGCTTGACATCGTCGCTCTGATGCGCGTAAAACTGAATATTCTGAATGTATTGCTGGTCGGTAGCTAAGGAACACCAAGAAAGTTTGGCTTATCTTCTATATTGGTGCAGAACATAAGAGTGATAAAAAATAGTACAACCGTATCTTCACGTTTTCTACCGTACTAGGAAAGTATGAATAAAATCATACAATGAACATTTCGTGGTGAACGTCGTGGAAGTTAACATAAATAAATACTTACGGCCTTGTTAGTGCGAAAGGTTAGCTTTCCGTGATTAGTAATCGCTCCAAGAAAGGATGTTGAGGGCTGTATCATTTTCCTTCTATACAGTTCATTCAGTCTTTACCAAGATGGTACAGAACCAGTTGTTCTGATCTCCTTCGGTAAGCCATGTTACCTAGCAAACGAATGCAAAATATGTCTTATGAATAAGTAAAGTAGTTGCGTTACATTTGCATTTATTTGTGTGTGAACAAAGTGCGTTTACGTCATACCTCCTATTGAACACAATGAAGATGAAGTAAAGCGAAACTAAAAGTCCCAGTGGGAGATCAATTACGATTTTGAAATAACAAAAAAAAAACAGTAAAATAGACTGACACACTTCGTCAAAATTTTAGCTATGTTGACCATAACAAAAAAACTTGACAATAAATTGCTTACTGAGACTAACAGAGGTCACTCAACCAATTAAGATTTCCCGGACGTTTCAAATATTAGCTTGAAAATGGACGGAAATAGAACCAAGGGAAAGCGTTTTCGTGTTTTCGAGGTCTCGTTCATTTTTCATCTTATACAGGGACGACAACGACCTTCCTAATTCCAATGTTTTCCAGCCTTTTTTCCTTACTTTCATTAATTTAAATGACAGTGAAATACCATTTGCTAGCTTTTATTTTAGAGCGAGATGGTCAATGCACTTTGTACGATATACACCCATTCATGCACATGGCCACCTGCTTCTCTAGGGGGGGGGGGGGGAGCTCGTCGTACCTTTTAGGGGTTCAGGGCTGGGTTGTTCAAAGCCTGATTAAGCTAACCCAGGATTAGCGAGAATTTTGATTTCACTTTTGTGACTCTTCGGTGAGGTTCTCTGTTTACGTTGTTTGTCCTTCTGTTAAGAGTTTGAATTATCTCAAACTACACAAAACGTAAGCAATGAAAAACATTTTTATATAAGAAAATCAATTCTTAGGTTAACTTTTTAATCCTGGGATGGAGTTAACCGGCTTTCGAACAACCCGCAACAGAAAAACAGTTTTGGTATCTCTTAGGGTGTTTAGCCTCCGAAGGTCCATAGCGGGAGCTTTCGTGGTACCTTTTAGGGTTGTTACTGTGTTGTTTTAGAATTCGTACCTGTTAGGGTCGGGTGAAAGCATTTTCACGCTACGCCTACAATTGGCCACAAAACAATATCTTGGTACCTCTTAGGGGTTCTTTTCAAAAGCTCCCCGTTCCTTTTCATATGGGAGTCCCGCCGGAGGTTATTCATGCATGGTTCTGATCTACCTGGATACCTGAGGAACATTAGACAAGAGACTATGACAGTCTCTTGGTTGAGATCGTCTGTGAGAGCTGTGAATGGGGCTTCATTCGTCCCTCCAGCACCGCAATGTGACTCTTTAGCAGTGCATCCAATCCTGAACCAGTCCTCTGGATTTTCAATACGTTCTTTTGCTACTTGCGCCTGTTTAGTTGGATTATAGTTATGGGCAAAGCTTACTCCATCTAAATAAAATGCAATTTCTTCAGTCCATAGGGAGCTTGTAGCCGTGTCGCTGCGAAAAAAGGAATAATTAAGATGTGATGAATCAGTGAGAGCTCTCGATAATTTACAAATGATAGTGGTATTTTAGATTTTCAGAATTTTTGTTGCCAATATTATTGCAACGTAGTTACTGACTTAGATTTCTTTACAGTGAATCGGGGCATAATGGTCAAAGTACCGTGCGAAATGGTCAGTATTCGATTTCACTGCTGGCTTGCTTTTTAAATTTTATTTCACGCTCCTTTTAGTTGTTCATTGATGTTTAGACAGGATATCAAAATCTCCGTATTTTAAAATCTTTTAATCAAAATATGTTTCTTTTTTTTGGTCTTGTTCTTTCACATTGATGTCGGAGTGTACCAACTTTAGGCTTGAACTTATTTGTTCGTATGCTGCTACCAGCGATAATAAAAAGACACCAGATTGCATTTTGTCTTAAATATGTTTAAACGAGAATCTTTCTCAGCTTAAAACTAATTTCTGACTCGAAGCACGCAAATAGGCCATGAAGAAACACTTCAATTTCGGGAAGTAACTCCATCTCGGGCATTTGACCGAAGTAAGCCTGAGACGGAGAAGTTATGGCAGCGATTAAAAAGGTCATGTTTCTAACAGCGTACTGTGTGGTGTAGTGGATAAGACGAGTCGCTTCAGAGCGTGAGGTCGTAAGTTCAAATCCTTCAAGGTGAGTAGAAAAAAAAATAAAGGTTGTTACCCGTCAGTTACCAGGTATGCAGAAAATGGAGTTAAAAATACCTAGGATAAAGGGTATCACGGAATGATTGAAGAAGATACAGGAATTAGGGGGAGAGGGTGGTATAGCTGGAGTCGGGGTTACAAGTTGGTACAAGTAGGAAGTTAGGAGACAGGGTGGGGTAGGGTGAGTGAGGAGGAAGTAAAGAGGACGTAGACATTAGGGGGAGAAGGCGGAATAGCAGGGGTCAGGGATACAACATTGCATAGGGAGAGAAGGTATGGGCATAGTCAGAGGGAGGTAGAGAAAACATTGGATTCAGGAGAATAGGGAGCCATAGGCTGAGACAGGGGAGGTAAGGAGGACATAGAGGATGGGGAAAGTGTGGTATCACTTGGGTCAGGGGGGTAAAAATCATGTGGGAAGCAGGGAGAGAGGGTGGAATAGGCTGAGTCAAGGAGAGGTAAAGAAAACATAGGAATCAGGGGAAGAGAGGTGAATACCTTGAGTCGGAGGTGGGGAGGAAGATTATAGAAGAAGGAGAAGAAAGGGTGGAAGACGTAGTCTGAGTCAGGGGGGTACTGAGGACTTAAATGATGTTGGACATTGTTGGTATCAGACTAGGCTTCCAGAGTTCATTTTTTTAGACTTTTTTGCTAGAATTCATTTTTTTCTTTCTTATTTCAATTTTGAAGCCGCATAAGAGTATAAAACATAATTACCCTAGTTAAAAAGATTAAAAGAAAAGATGTGAGTAATTCTAGTAGCTGTAGTCAAATGACACCATCATCCAATATTCTAGTACGTGGAGAGTCAGGCATAGTTGTAGGTGGGAAAGAGGCAAATACTTAGAAAAATAAGTCACCCGTTTCAAGTGATTTATCCAGTTTTAAGCGCTTCAGTGAAATAATCTGATTATAATAAAGTAATTTAAAAGGTTTTCAACAATTTTAGTTGATCGTATAAAGATCACATGGTCTTTCCTGAACATTTCCGAGGGTTCCCGGCTAAGGTTGTTGAGAGTTTACATGTAAGTCAGCAATGTCTTCCTACCTATAAGCTTAAATATCTCTACAAGTGGAACGAAGTGTAACGTCTTTGTCGTACAGGTGAAATTCTCGGAATTCACCACAGTTTTGAACCATTGAGTTTTTTAGGTTTAAAAATACAAACAATACAACATTTACTAACTATCAGTTAAAAGTTTTTAAAGTAATAAAAATAATTTTACACTCAGGTTCTAAGTTTAACTTGTGAGCTTCATTGAAGATCGTTGAAGTGTTCACGCTTTGGTGAGTTGGAAAAGTTCTGGCTAACAAAGTATTAAGTTTGTAGTACTGCCGACTTAGGAGAAAATCTGTAAAGTACTACAGGCATTAGGCTTATAAAGTACCTTCTCTTCTCGTTGTTGTTAAACGTAGAATTGCTTTCTTTCTCGTGGTGAGCAAGTTTCCTGACTGAATCGCAGCATTGAAGGACCTTCCGCAACTCTCCAAAGCAATTAGAAAACAACGTGGTGGTCAAAACCCCAGCTTTCGTCAAGATGAACGTTTCTGTTATAGCTTGGACCATAAGAATGGTCATCTAGTTTTCAGAAAGGGTCCCAAAAAGGGAAATTCTTTCAAAATTTTTATAAAGTAAACACGTATTCATTCATAAACTGGCAAAGTAAACCATTGCCGCGTGCTGCCGGTCGCAGTGGCGGGAACTGTGACGTCACCCTCAGAGTATCGGTTACTAAATGGAAAACCTTGAATTTATACATCGACAAAAACATTCGTTCAAAACCTATCGTCCTTATGTTGAATGAAAAATATTGAAATGAAAGGTTTCCGACTCCGAATAGCTAACAGACAAATTACATATTTCTAGCCATCCCAGATGAGCCGAAAAAAACAAAAATTCTTCATCGGTCACGTGACTCTACGTGGAAAAAAAAAAAAGGTATTAGTTTCCAGTCTTCTTTGCAGCTATATTTTCCAAGATGGCGGCCATTTGAAACTTACAAGTGCAGGTTGCCTGACCGGGCAAGATCCGGCTTTTGTTTGCAGTTCCTCCACAGAGGGACAGAATATTCAACAGAATCTGTTGCAAGTCGAAAAGCTTTCACTGTGCAATGTGGTAATTTGGATTTCTTCCTGCATAACATCCCCTAGAACATTTAGTTTGCAAAATGAGCTCTCATTCAGCTGACAAGCTGAAGCGGCCTCAAATGGCTTTTGAACTATTCGAGTTGGTTGGATTGTTGCGAGTTCGTCCACGAATATCTCAGCAACACTCTAAAGGTAAGCGAGGTTCTCTTTTGTTGATCAGAAGCGAGCTTCTCCATGCATGTGGTCCTGTCATTTGTAGCTGCACACTGCAGGCTAGGTGATGAGAATGCAGAAATTCATCATATTATAAATCTAGTCAATCAATATAAAAATAAATCTTCATAAACTGCAAAAAGTACAGACATTCACATTGGTACACATGCCCCCTTTCTCTCTCTTCCTTCTGCCTTTCTCCCCGTCCCTACTCTGCCTCCCTCCCCACTCCCCTCCCCACTTCCAGGTCTAGCCTTGTGGTTGTTTACATACTGTGCATCTTGAGTTGCAATAAACCTGAGAGATAATTTTCATGATATGGGTGTGTAATGCCATCTTTATTACAGGTTTTCAAAGGGTATTATATATATATATTTTTTCTTGATATATGAATAAAGATGGTGAATTTTAAGCTTGGTAATGAAATGTGAAAAGTGAAGTTATGAACATGACAAGAGTGTGGTACAAAGAAAAAATCTGAGTCCCTGATAGGAATCGAACTTGTGACCTCCCCAATACTGGGCGGGTGCTCCATCCACTGAGCTACAGGAACTCATGGAGAGCAAGGTCATTTAATTCAGTTCATATGTGACAGGCGTCCTGCATACTGCTAGGATTAGCACTGATGAAGTCATTGTGAGTATGATAAATGAATAAAGATGGTGAATTTTAAGCTCAGTAATGAAATATGAAAAGTGTTCACTGATCAACATGACACAAGTGTGGAACAAACAAAAAATCTAAGTCCCAGGTCCCTGAGTCCTGGGACTCAGATTTTTTCTTTGTCCCATGCTCATGTCATGTTGATCAGTTCACTTTTGACATTCATATTTTTTTCTTGTTTCCAGATGACATCAAAAGATTACCATCCATTCAACAGGCTGCTTGGCATGAGGACGAAAAGCACAGTTTGATGGTGTTGCTGTGTAGTAATGGTGAGTGTGTGGCTCCAGTGTGTGAGTGCAGGTAGACTACATAAATTCTGTACTAATTTCTCCCCTGCCTCCCTCTCAGGTAAACCATCTTCTCCATTTTGGGTCAAGAAATTTATTAAGCCCCACCTCTGACTTACCTCTCCCCTTACCTCCTTTGTATTCCTGTTTTTTGGTGTTTATGTAGGATCATTGTTGCTGCGTGGTGAAGAAAAAGGCACAGCCCCTGTGATCAAACAAGTTTCTTGGTTTCAGGTATTAGTATTTTTCTACATATATGCAATTACTATTCTGCCCTCTACCAATCCATCTTGATTTGGAGAAAACCTGACCTACAATTTTGAAATCTGTACTAACCTGTTAGCCAAAGGTTATCTTTTAATTTAAATATTATTCATTGATTTCACCACCCAAAACATGAGAAAATAGTTTAACAAGACATACAGTATGTAGGGTGGCCAAAAAGACCAGCAAAAAAGACTAGCCAAATAGAAATCATGTTGGTAATGTTGTGATTTAACACAGGGGAATGTCTTTTTATTTTCAAACAACGTGAACAATTAAAGCAATTTTTTTGCTCCCTTGGCAAAAAATTAGGGGAAACTGTTAAACTCATTTTTTTGAACTTCTTCCCAATTTGTCAAACCAGTTTTTGTTCCTGTAGATGGTTTGAAAACTCAGGATAAAACTTTACTATGTCTTGCTGTTCTGTGTACTGTCATTAAAGGTTTCTAACCTTAAGATTTCCTTTAACTTCATTAGAATCCTGCCAAGTCTGTGAGAATGATAGCCATGGACCCATCAGGCTCATGGCTGATTTGTGCATGTATGGATTGTTCACTGTATATTGTACCAGTTGCTGAAGTAGTAAGGGTAAGATTTGATTCATCAAAAGTTACATTTATTTATCCAGTGGTCAGTCAGGTACAGGGGTTTCATTAACATTTTCAGCAGGAGGGAAACTGTTTTCCAAAGGTGGGCAAAACTGTTTGAACTGAACTTCTTTTTAAAAATACTTTCCTGTAGATGGTAAACCAGGTGGGCAAAATCATTCTCACAGTCAGTCAATTTGCCTGGTGCCCAGTCCTTAATGAAACCCCGGCAGATGGGTTTGTATCATAGCAATGGTTGAGGAGAATAACTTAAATTCAGAGCCTTCTCACATTTCTGGCTTTTGTTCCATGCCGCTGAAACTGGAGTGGCCAGCCATGTGGTGCTTATCTTAGGGTTTCAGTATCTTGGAGGAACTAGGGGTACTTTTACTCCCCTTGAATAGACGCTAGGTCATCAGAGGGTTACCCCTAAGCATTAAATTTGATAACTAATACCAATTAGCTCTGGCTAATTTGTACAGTTAGTAGTTTTTTTTCTAGCATTTAGAGAGGAGGCCTCGCATAACATCTTTCTGTTTTTTTTTTGGTTTTTAGAGGAATTCCAAGATTTCTTACCAGTATTGGTCAACTGACGATATTACGCTGATCCTAAAAAATGACAGACGGGGTAATGAGCAGTTCTAATATTAAGCCTTGCGATAACAGTTTAACCTTCCACACACACTTAAAATATAACCTCAGTCTGTTTTTTATCTCCGCCAGGGCTTCCATGTGGTTTAGTTTGGTGGCATACAGTGGATGACTTACACATTGGTGTCATCGGCACTGAGGTTTGTCTTGTTCATAAATGAACAAAATTTTGATTTTTAATTAGAGTGGTTTTCAATTGTTTGTTGTAAAACCAAAGCCAAAGTAATCAAGCTAGCCAATCACTAAAGACACAGGCAATACAGTGAGCCAGTCAAAACTTGAAGTAATTAGATATAGCTCACGCAAAGTGTGGAAAAATGAGTACGAATGGGTCACAACTGATTTGGTTGCTTTTCTTATTGGATGAAAAAGTGGCACGAGTTTTCTAAGCCAATTGTGTGGCGTAGTTGGTGCAAAACCAATTACTCCTTCTTTGCACTTAAATGAACTGCTATATAGCAGAGGTTTTCAAAGGTGTCATGAGTCACTGCATTCAGATAAGGATATTAAAACAGCTTTCTGGCTATCACAAAGATGTGCATGTAAGGTGGAGCTGGCTTTATTTTTCTGGTGCATGGCTGACTTTACTCCCACAGTGCCTCTCTCTACCAAGGTGTATAAATGGGTACTAACAAAATTAATGCTGGGGGTTAACCCTGCAACGGACTTGCATCCCATCCAGAGGGAGGAGAAATACTGTTAGGCACTTCATGCTACAGAAACTGGAGATACATGTAAACACCAGCCTGATGGACCACTGGCTCATATGCAGACTTTACCGACCTACCTTTTAGGGAGTATCACATACCCTCTTAGGACATTATAAGTTAATCAATCAGCAATAGTTCTCATTTCTCTAAGTAACTAAACATCAGGTACATTTATTCCAGCTTGGAGAATTATTGTTTGTGGATCTGAAGCAGAAGATGATAGTAGCGTCTTGTGATGTCAAGGAGAGCATCATGTCAATAGAGTTGATGCAAGACAAACAACATGAGACAACTGCTCTACTGGTAATAATAACAACGTGCTTATATGACATGGTTATCCCTTTCAAGCTGTTTCTTGAGCATATACCAGAATTTTATATTGCATTAAGACCAATGTTAGCCTTCTAACACATAATTAGACTGGATTCTGGGTTTTGTTTCACACCACTGAAAAATTTCAGCAACATGAAAGAAAAGCAAGAAATCTGTTTATGTTCACAGGCTAGACCTATGTTCACTTCTGCTACATGCTCATCAGTAATTTCCATCCTTCATTGTGCAAATGTATGATATTTTCTGTTTCTAATATGCAGATCAACACCATGTCAGGTAATACAGTTCAGATGCAGCTTGAGTACAAGTCAATGCGTATGGCAGGTTTTGAGCAGAAGAAGAGTCCATCCATGGCATCAGCTATGGGATATGAAACACTCAGCAAAGTGGCCATACCCATTGAGAGCGTGTTTCTGGGAATAGAAGATCTGCAGGACAAAATACAACCTATGCCAATTGCAGTAAGTTGAATTTAGAACCTTGGGTGTTACTGGACCTTTTTAACGATGTCCCACAATATCAACAAACACTTCTTCATAAAATTTGGCGTGTTTGGGGTCTCGTATTTTCATGAGTGCAATGGATTCTTATATGAAACTTCGTATAGTTACTAAATTTGACTTGTTAAATCAAGAGGTGAGGCTTACTGTAGTTCTTGTTTGAATGAGAAAATCGGAAAAAGTGTGACAACATCGAAAAGGTCTATTTGTTGCAACATGCTCTTGAATCTCATCTTCACTACTTTCAATTTACATCAAGCCATTCAGTTATTAGTCTCTCGATCATTTAGTTTTGCTTTTTTCACTGTTTGTACATGTAGCATACAATTATTTTAATTATAGTAAAAATATTAATAACATGTTTTTTTTCATTTTTTTATTCACAGTCCTCTAGTGGTGCTAATCAGTTTTCTGTGCAGTATGCCAGAAATCAAGTGTTCATTGGGGCTCGTAATAAAAAGAATGATATTCTGGAGGTACAAATTAGAATAGACTTGTTATTATTGATAATTTGTTGAAGCCACCTTAATGTCACTTACTGATTCAGTTCTGACATCCTGTATTAACTGCTTAAACCCTCCAAAAACATGACAAGTTTGTTTTGGTGTGTTAAACATTGCCCTGTATTTTTTTGCACTGGTTTTCACTCCATTTTTGAGAAATAACATATACAAAAAAGTCAGTTTTCCTAGTGACATCTTTTTGTGGAATGTGAAACAAAAAATAGCCACTAGTTGTTATTAATGTACGTCTTATAATAAGTTTATAATCCCAATGGTTTACTGACCAACACCAACATTATTTCTAGTTTTATTTTTATTTTTAGTTATTATTATAATTATTTTTTTACATTAATTCTAGTTGAGATCCAGAAATGACCTGTATTACCCTGTGAGCAGAGTCTCCTTCGATCTTAATAAAATGTTAATTTTCCCAATTTTGAAGGTTTATGACATTGATGTAGAGAACTTGCCAATGTTTGTCTATCAACTGCCACCTGGGACAACAGATGTTTTATTGACTAACAGGGTGATATTTACTATCACTCACCAGGAACAGTCAGATGAGGTAAAAAAGTTTTATATTGACTGACTTAACAGTCAATATAATAATTATAGCTAGTTTTATCTCTATTACCTGGCTAGTATTACCTGGCTAGGCTACCTTCTTTCTGAGGATTGTTTATCTCTGACAGTAGATTAGATTACAGTAGGTTACATGCATGTACAATTCTCAATTAAGTAGTAATTGAGATTTCAGCTACACATTTGTACTTTCTCTCACATACATGTACATTCATCTATAGTAATATAATGCAAGGCTGTCATTAGAGGCTGTTACTGTTGAATATGCTTGATGGGTTCCTGATGTTAAGGTGATGAACTTACCTGTTGTTGATACACTTCACATACAAAGTAATCAAATGTTTTTATGGGTGTGAAGATCAAGACAACGGGTGATCCAAACCCTTCGAACAGGACAGCCCTATAGTATTCACTTGTGCATACAAACTGCCACACTCTGACTCTATGGTATGACCTCAGTAACCATACATGTAAAAATTATACCTCCTCTATGTTTCTTATTTTGTGCAGACGTTGTTGTGTATTCAGGCCAGTCAGCTTGCAGAAACATCAGTCTCAGTACCAAAATCTCATCAGGTGATTGATACATTGTAGTAATTTTGCACAAATCAAAATAAGTTGTCACCAACTTTTTTTAAAAATACCAAACTAATCTTTGGGCATCAGCATTCAATGTCAGCGAAGTAGTTTGAAATGAATTTTAAATGAAATTTAGGTCACAATGATAACTTAATATAACATTTATTTACCCTGTGCAGTGTTTATAGCACAAAGGCTAGAGGGGCCTATTAAACAACTGGGCAAATAATTTAAATTGAACATAACATTGTTAAGAATTCCAATTGGCTGGCGGCAAACCAGTTGGCTATTTACAAGCGTGGCCGAGGATTTGAACTCAATAACAGTTTCAAACCATTTCAACCACAGTTCGTATAGTGTGATTGTCCGGGTGAGGGTAGGTTTCTGCCAGTCACACCAATGTAGGAAGCCTGGCAGTTNAAACCTAACAACAGACAGGGAGCAGTTTACAAGATCAAATGCTCCGACTGCCAGGCTTCCTACATTGGTGAGACTGGCAGAAACCTTAACACGAGACTGACTGAACACAAATGAGCCACAAGAAATGGTGATGCCAACAATCACATTGCTGTACATCTTCAACTGACAAACCACAACATTGACTGGGACTCTGCTCATTGCTTAACCTGCAGTACAAACTATTTTCAACAACTGACTCTGGAAAGCTGGTACACTAACCTAGAACAAATGCCACTTAACAGATGTCAACAACTACCGGCGCCCTACAAACGACTTATTCATGACAGAAACGAAACCGACAAACAGACTTCCAACAGACTGACTTAATTTGACTAACAATAGACAGACCAAAAAACTGACCAATTTGACTAACAATAGAAGGATCGAAACCCACCAATGACTGATGACAAACTTTACATGAGTCTTTCAGCCAATACCATCATGGCTAAACTGACCAATCATGTTCAACGGACCAGACTTATAACATCATCGACTGACAAACACTATTCACTTGATTCTGAAGATGACTGCTGCTCAGGTTGTCAAAACGTCAGTCACCAACAACAGTTCTTTTCAGAACTACCCTCGCCCAGACGATCACACTATACGAACTACTGATACTCCTGGGTTCAAACCATTTACTACATTTCAACCACAGTAAACAGTTTAAATATTTTAATGTATTTCCCTGGTTATTTCTCCACAGAAGGCAGAATCTAGCATTATCCAGACATTTGTACTTCCTCCTGGAGAAAGACTCATTGCCATGTTTCAACACTCAGAAGCAGTGGACAGCATCATCATTGAAGACACTCCTGATCGTTCTCAAACTCCGACTGGTTCTGGGGTGTCACACACTGTCGATGGCATGATCCTCGTCACCACCTCTGGTGTATTCCAGTGCCAGCCTAGAACATCACCCGAGAAACTGTTCCTAGAGCTTGCTGTCAGTAGCTCAGACACTTCAGCTGCAGATGTGTTAGCCATCACTTCTGGCCTTGATGTGAATAAATTATATGAGGTGGGTATGTCATTCATCCATTCATCTTGAGTACTACATGTTAAATATTGAAGTTGAGTTAAGTAAATAAAGATTATAACTCAAGCCTACAATCCCAGTCAAAAGTGTTAACACAAACACTTCTTCCTTTGTTTCCTACTCCCCATCTCAATGTTGAGCTCTCAAACAGGTTTTACAAACTATCATTATCCACAAAGAGTTTAACAATACATTAAAACATTTGAGTCAGTTACGTGTTACAACTAGTTTTGTCTGCAAATATAGGTGGATGCAAAATCCTAATACCTAAGTTTGAAAGTAAAGTGTTAAATATTGACTTTATTTCAGATGGCTGGTGATGAAGCATTGACTAATGAACAATATGAACATGCACTGGAACTCTATCATTTATCCAAGGTAACCTAATTACATGGAAGTTTTTAATCCACAAAAGACGTTAAAACTGATGAGTTCTATTGAAACTACCCACCGAGAGGAAGGAACCATTCTGCGATTGATGGAGTGACATTTTATAACATTTTGTCACTCATTAAACAATGAACAGTGCTCCTAAATTTTTTCAACACCATTACTGTAAAATCTGGCAGTGTAACTTAATCCATTTTCACTCATGTTTAACACTTGAATCATGACTTTTTATTATGATATGCAGTGCTCATTTGAGAGACGTGTTGCTCAATTTGCTAAACATGGAAGGGTAGCCGATATTCTTGCCTATCTTCGACAGGTATTTGAATATTGTGCTGTACCTATATAGTTATTTTTTGCCATTTAATGCTATTATAACTGTGACATATAATGGTAGTGAATTTGGAGTGCTGGTGCGGCATACATTGATAATTCTTCATCAAAGTTCTGAAAGTGGATGACATGCCAGGTCATCACAGGCTACTTCCCAGCATTCTGTCAGGCTACCCCAGTACCCATTGCTGCACTCCGGTACCCATTTATACTCCTGGGTGGAGAGAAACACAGTAAGAGTAAAGTGTCCTGCTTACCCATGGCCAAGAACACAACACATTGACCTGGCCGGGGCTCAAATCTGGACTGCTCACTCCAGAGTCTAGTACGCTATCCATCCGTCTGCTGCTATTCCCACTGGAACACTTCAATGTAGCCCTAATAGTACAAATCTTCTTTATGAGATTCTTTATTATGTAATTTCTAAGGTTTGTTTAAGCACCAGCCTGTTTCTTATTAAAAACTGTATGTTACTGGTACAAGGGGTGAAAACTTTCAGATGGGACCATTAATGATTGTGCGCTATTCTTCCCATTGATTTTTCAAGGCATTGAGTAAGTATGGTGATGTGCACACCGCTGAAAGGAAACAGTTGTCCAATCTTACTCTGTTCTGCTTTATACAACAGGTAAGATGTAAAATCCTTAGCACCATTGAATACACAGAAAGTAAAAATTCATCTAAATGATAACTGTACCAAACCAACATCTCCTTAAAAACTCCTCACACAAAAAAACTCTAGCTCCCACATTTTCTTGCTTTAATAATGTTTTCACAATCTATTTTTTTTAATTCTCATTCCTCACTTGATATATGTTTCTGGAAGAGAAATAAGTTTTATATTTTTCATGGTGACTGACATTTTCAACTATCTTACGTTTACAGGTTTTGGAGAGTAGTGGTGATCCTATCCAGCAACAAACACTTTCTGAGGCATTTAGGTAAAAGCTTCTTTCAACTTACAACAAAACTGAATGTATTTTTCAACATTCATTTGGTAGAGATACCAACCTAAAAAAATTGAAATTCATGAGATCACCAATTTTATCTTCTCGACCCTCAAAAACATTGCTAAAAGTAACTGGAGCTTCACCGATTCAAAAAGGATTAAATATTTCAAAATTTCCTCCCAAAAATGCAAAACAATTTGGCCAAAATAAATGTGAAAAATGTTGTTTACTTACTTTCCTTTGTATGGGGGACATTTTGTGGCCAGTACGGGAGACCAGGAGATCCGGTCTGAATCTGGGAGACTCCTGGATCCAAGAGAGTTTGCAAAGATGTATTAGGTGTACTTAGGAACTGAGTAACCTGATTTAACATGTGCTTTTCTTCTTCTGTCAGCCAATTCCTGAATGATAATTTTGATTACGACGAGGTGACTGCTTTGGAACAATTGTCAGCATATGGTCTTAAAAGTTTGATGTTTGATGTAGCCAAGGTAAAATTTAATATCCTCTCCCAAGCAATAATTTACAGAAAGATAAAATTCTGCATTTTGCACAGGATCCAGTAGTGACAGGTGCCCTTCAATACATTTGTGTGCTAGTAATCTATGTAAAATTGTGTCGATCTATTTTGTGTTTGGAGACAAGTTCATGGTTGTTAGTTTATTTGATCTTGAAAAATATTATTAAGTTGGAGATATGGCACCGCCATGATTATCCTCTCAAGGTCTTAATAAGCATACACATCAGCTTTTTTTCTTCTAATCTTCACTCACATTTTGTAGTAAAATGTTAATGATGCATACTAGCAACTATGAACACAATGTACAAGACTAAGTTATATAGGTTATACAAAGTGCTGATTGAAGTAATGTTAAATAATCCCAACAAGAACTTTTTATTCAACAGGCAAGAGGCTTAATGCCTAAAACCTTGGAGATGTTAGCACAGAAAGGACAGTTTCACCTCTCATCTGAGCTTCAGGCCAAGTTAGCTTCAAGAGGATTCACAGATATCATCAGTAGAAGTGCCAATGGTGAGAGAGAACTGCTAAATTGCCAAAACATTTACTCATCATTGATACACTCTTTGGAATTCTTTTCCATACTTTTACAAACAGTTTCAAGTTCGTCTGAAATAATGCAAAATAATTTAGAACCCTGACATGTTCTTACAAATCATTCTTTTATTACAGCTGTAGTACCAGGTATATGAAATTGGCAAATTGTATTGACTTGATTTATGAACAAATTATTTGTGATTATTTTCCTAATCCATTCCTGTCCACCACTTCAAACATTTTTGTGTCTGGGAGGGGGAGGTGGGTTGTTGAACTATTGTTGAACTTTTAGTTTTCATCCAAAGCACGTGCTGTATGTTATGGCATTGGTACTGCTTTAGTTGCCTTTACAACTAAATTGCCCTCTTCGACTGTTGGAAGTAAATTATTATAAATTATTTACTTTCATGGAGTAGGCCATAATTTATTATTAATATTATTTAATCATGGACATGTAATTTTTAGGTGCCTTTATACAGTGTATGGATCCCCAAGAAGTTGTCATCTTTTTGTTGTCAAAGGTAAAAGGAAATTTTGTCTTCTTTTTAAAAGAGATTTGCATTAAATAAACTGGCCCAAGCCAAGCTTTATGAAGGCAGGACAGTTCAAGCTTGATTGTTATGTTACCTTGCAGCCAGAGACTATCCTCAGTCATATGAAATTCCTTCTATCTCGCCTAACATCACTGAATGAAGAAAGTTTGGTGCACATCGCTCGTGTTCTGGATCCGTCTCGTCCTTCATTCAGATCTTTGGCAAGTAAAGTGAGACCTCCAAGACAGAGGTAACACTTGGAAATAAATAGTTATTCACCAGTTAGGATATGATTTATTAGACATTATAAACAGGGATGCAGAGTGGCGATAAAAGCAAAGGTTACGACAATACGTGTATGAAATGGTTTTGAAAGTCCGGAGGAGAGGAGCGTTGCATGATGATATAAATGACGGCTGCGTAGGAGTCTATATTTATACCTTGAAGAAATGTGAGTGTCTGACATCTTAACTAACTGGTTCTGTGACAAAGAGAAGACAGTGATGATGATGGTCATGGTGATCATAACAAGAAAGATAGTGATCAATGATCATGGCAGTTGTTCTTGTAGCTGAGACCTTTAAATCAGAGTACATTAGACTATACAAGAGTGAGTTTAAACATGACTTATGATTATGCTTTTGATTGATTATCACATATCACACCAATGTCATAATGATAGTCGTCTAGTCAACTGGTCTCCAACAGGGGTAAGTGAGGACTCTGCAAACTTAGCTGAATTGAAATTTGAAGGTCTTACTCGTACTCAGTCTCGTACTTGTGCTACCTAAAGGTTCTTAATGGTGATTATAATTCATCAACAATAGTTATTCATAGCAATTAATAATTAAATTGAGGTTATTAACTTAAATATTGTGTTTCTTTTAGGACTGCTTCTGGTAGCTCGATCAGTTCTCTGATTTCCATGGAAAGTGTGATCAGCCTTGGACATGTTAGTTAGAATTTGCTCCATTTTCCTAATAATACCCTAAAGTAAAAGAGATCTTTTTTATTGTTAGTTCATAATTCATCATTTCTAATATTATTTGATGACTATCCTTTGTTTGTGATAATACATTGTTTGTGGCTAGTCTGATGCAGCACTTTCAATTCATCCAACCAAGGGACTCCTTAGAGACCTCTCTGCTTGGCAAATTCAACTTCTATTGTCAATATTTGTCTTGATCTTAGGAGGATAACATCAAACAGCCTACTCTGCAAGATCTGATTGAACTGTTTTTATGCTCTCTTTTGGTGCTAAATCATCTCAGAAATGACAAGCTAGATGCCATGGCAAGGTGTGTTTGTAGTTCTCCTTTAATTGACAAGAATTATATTCCTCTTCATACATGTACTGTACATGTGAGATTGATGATGCATTGGTGTGCAGGCAAGTGACGAGAAAGAAGAAAATAATTAACTACTCTGAAGTAAACGTACATAATGAAAGAATTGTATAATGCTGAAAGATGAAGAGAATGTGACAGACAAGACTAACACCTGTTTTATCATTCTCTTTAGAGTTTCAGCAATTAAATGTGTTTGTGGAGGAAATCAGGATTCAGAAAACAGTTTTGGAAGAAAGAGGGTAACTTTTATTTTAAATAATTATGTCATTAGTATTTTATAATAATAATAATGGTAGTAGTAATTGACGCCAGAAGAGGGTGCTTTTTTAAAGAATTTTAACCATTTATGAGAGGACTGTCGCATACAAGTGGAAAGTAACAAGTTAGCCTGTATAGGATACCTTGAGAGATACTAATTTTTTTGGCATGAAGGAACTACGGTCAAATCATTCCATCCTCCCTCGGATGGGTAAGCAAAATGACTGCTCCTCTCACAGTGCACTGCAGTAGTTGAGTACATGTATTTTGTCCATGAACTATGACTCCAGCCTACACCCAAACTTAGATCATTTGATGTGGACTTCAACATCATTAGGCTACTGTGCCTTCCACTTAATAGCTGTATGAAACAACAAGTAACTAATTACTGCTAAGTTTCTTAAAGGACCCTAGGCAGCCAGTCTGCCATTTTTTATGCCATTGAAATTATTGATATTGCATGGTGAAGCGGAATCTTAATTGCTTTACTGTAAGTTGTGTTTCTGAAAGTATGTTTGATTATTTTAAGTAGTTTCACAGTGATTTCCTTCTTTCAACATGCTCTGAATAAAACATAATAGCCAAACTCTCACATGGAGACAAAAACAAAGGTGTAAGTACATTGCTGACTTAAGGGCCCTTTAAGATATATGTTTTGACCCTCTCTAAACTGAAGGTCAGTGGAAATGAATGTCAATATAAGAACTGGTTGACAGACTGTTGTTGTATTTGGCCATGGCAGGAAAGTACAGTGGAGTTTCTGTGCAGGCCAGTGAGGCTGTCCTGTGGTCAACAGCACACAGCTGTTGTTAGTTCATCAGGGGATGTTTACACATGGGGACGATCTCAGAAAGGAAGGTAAATATTAGGCTGTAAGTAATTTACAACAAACATATGGCATGTTAATGTTTAAATGCTTCATTTCCTTTGAGAGTCCATTCTTTCCTCCTTCAGCCTTCCTCCTGGTATAGGGTAATTGATGAGGGTTCACAAAATGGCTGGAAATCAGTCCTAGTTATCTATGATAAGGAAAATTCTTATTGATTATTTATGTGAACATCAGGATTCCAATTTAAAGTAAAGATTGCTTCTATAATCATGAACAAAATTTCAAATCATAATCTTTTTTATTTTTTCAATTTTTCAGTCTAAAGTTATATTCTAAATGTTCGAAATATTTTGTTATGTTTCAACAAGTTATTAATGTTCATTATTGTATGTCTTGTGTTTGTAGCCAATATAATGAGACCTCTGATTAGCTAATTCTGGGGCATTATTCTCCCACAATACCCACAGGCTGACTATGGCCTGCAAAAACAAAGCAAAAAGCCTTATAATAAACAACTTATTAACCTTGAATGTTCGTTAGGTCTCTTTTGGAAAATCTTAAACCTCGGCCTTGCCATATTGACCTTGCTGTCGCTCAGTCAATACGGCAAAGTCTTAGCAACTAAGACTTTGCTGTATTGAAAATCTCAAACTGTTTGAGATTTTCCTGTAAAGACTTCACCCTTGGTTAATAAGTTGTTACAAACTGCTCATTGTTTGTTTTTTCACTACAGGCTGGGTCATGGGGATATTATTGAGGAAGAGGGAAAATCAGTTCCTTTTCGGGTAGAAATTCTCCACATGCACAGGTCGGTAAAGGAATGCTGCTATCAAGAATTTTGATGTCTTTTGTACACTAGCAGTAGACCATTGCAGGACTATCCTCACCAGCAAGACTGTGTTACTCTAGACAACCTTGCTGAGGATACTCTTGGGTTCAAATCATTTTAGAGAATTTTTTGAATGATTTTGAAAAGCTGAAACAACCAAGTCAGGAGAAACATGTGTTCAAAATGTGCTTGGCTTAAAAATGGTGTTTCTTGTAGGATTAATGTGTTGTCAGTAGCTTGTGGAATGGAACACACATTGGCATTGTGCTCTGATGGGGTAAGTCTTACTAGCTTACTGTTTATTGACCTATTTTCTCCAAAGAAGGCCTGAGTTCAGAATCAAGTAAAAAGTTCAAATGTTAATTGTGACATCTTGGAAAAGTTCACTGTACTATGTGAAAGTGCTGCTCAGTAATTAAATGATCACATACCAAATTTCAACCTACATGCACATTAAATAATTATCACTAACCTCTCTCTGTGTGTTATGGTTACGTTTGACTCTTTCCATCCTTTCAGGTTTACTCCTGGGGGTCATCTGAATATGGGCAGGTATGTACACTGTACTGCAAAAACACAGGACTCTCTGTACCGAGAAGAAGTGTTTGGAAATGACTGACTTTTATTAAAGATAGAAAGAAAGAAACTTGATGTGACTGAAAATGCTACTTCCAATGTTGTGATTGGTGATAGACATTACAGAGGTTTTTGTAGTCTGATCTAATTTTCCTTTCTGAATTCTCTGTCCACCTTCTTCAATAAGTCTGATGAAGGTGGACAGAAATTCAGAAAGGAAAATTAGGTTGGACAAAACTTTTTTTTTAAAAAGAAACTTGACTTTACTGACTTTTTAATTTGTGCATCATTCTCATTTTCAAGCTTGGCCAGGGTGACACCCAGCAACAGACCAGACCTGTCTATATCACAGAACTGTCAGACAAAAAGTGTATAGCAGTCATGTGTGGCCACTACCATTCCTTGGCCCTGTCGGCAGATCACAGGGTGTGGTCATGGGGCTGGGGTGTACATGGACAGTTAGGAGTGGGTAGTATTGAAGATGTACTGCTGCCGACACATGTAACATCACTGGATGAGTATGAAGTCACTAAATTAGCAGCGGGATACTCACACAGTGCAGTGCTAACAAGTCAGGTTAGTAATTCAATCATTACCATACACTTATAGTAATCAACATCTGATTTCTCCTTACAGTGTTAATACATTATCATGCAGGCAAGTAATGAGAATAAAGAAAATCGTCAACTAGAGGATATTGCCCTGATGAGCAAGTTAATTCTCAGAACTAGCATTGAATGCCATGGTTTGTGTAGTGTGATCATCTAGTTCTGAAAATGACTGTTGTTGGTGACACCAAGTCACCTTCAACAGTTCCCACACACAGCTGGGAGCCATGCCAAGCCGAACCATGCAGCCTGACCTTTATTAACATAACAACATAACTGTCTTATCAGGGCACAAAAAAAGTGGCTAGAGAATAAATTCACTGCAACTTAATAGATTCTAAAAATACTTCACGGGTTGGTGGGTGGGTGGGGCATGTCAGGCAATGGCCGATTGCAAAACAAAAACTGAACCTTGTACAAGCCACATGACCTGAAACACCCCATACACTAATGTACTCAGACTCCCTGCTGTATGTGAGAAAAAACCTTTTCTGCTTCATTCATTCCTCAGCCAGCAGAAAACCATACGTCTTTCAGAACTACCCTTACCCAGATGATCACACTTCACGAACTACTGATACTCCTGGGTTCAAACCATTTACTATTAACCACAGTGTATGAAAATCAGTGAGAAGAATTTATATTTTTAACATGTTACAAAGAGTGAAAGTAAATGAATAAAATATATTTTATAACTGTTCCTATTGCAATTAGATTGTATTATTATTTTTCAGGGACACGTTTTCACTTTTGGAGGAGGTATGTAATTAATCCACTGAAACCGAAGCAAAATTTCTTAATTTGAAATCTATTCATTGTGCATTAAATTTACTTTAATTTGGTCAAAAATGGTAAAAGCAGTGTGATTTTCATTATGAAAGAAATATGAAACAATAAAAAAATACAAATCAAACTGGTTCTTGAAATTTTAAATCAAACACAAATTTAAATCAGGGCATATAGATTTTGACAAAATGCTAGTGAAATTGTTTCTTTATTTCACCAGTCATAAGACACCAGTCCTATAACACTTGATTACCAGTTAATATCATTGGTGGCAAATCATGCATGCAATCTTGGATGTTTTACTTGTTTAAACTGTATTGAGAAATTTGACTCCAAACCCATTTGTCACCCATGATATTAAATATGACATTGATTTTGATTTAGGCTTATATGGTCAGTTAGGAGTAGGAACGAATAGCAAGCAGACTCTTCCCATGTTTGTGAAAGCATTGAAGAATGAGAAAACTTACTTGATTTGCTGTGGATCCTTTGAAACTGTGAGTAATCTTTCATAAAGTAATCTGTCTTTAGTTGTGTTTATAATTCAAGTCTTATTAGCATCATCATTAAGTCAAACATAAAGTGGTAATTAACTTTTTTCCTCACCCAGCTGGCTGTTACAGAAGATCAGAAAATTTTTAAGTGGGGAAGAAGTCCACATTTTTTCAGATATTATATGGTGAGCAGAAGTTTACCCAAGTAGTGCCATGTTTTTTTGTGTGTGTGTTGTTGGATTTAATTTGTGATTTAGATGCCTTGTAGAATGAGAACAAGATTTCTATAAAAATTGTTCCCTCTGTTATTATCCTATCCTTGCCTTCGTGGTTCATGGGTTTGAAATCTGCTACCCTTATACCATATACTTAGGCAGCTCAATGTTTTGTGTTAAATTTTAGCGACAAGAGTATCGATCAAAGCGTTCCACGCAGACAACTCTTCCATCCAACACGGTGTCTCACCGGTTACTCCCTGTGCTGATGGACTGTGCCTTTTCATCAAGAATTAAAGATGTGAGTGTGTTCTTCTTGATGTTCTAACAGTGATTGGCTTGTTATTTCTCCCTACAATGTCAATACATTGCCAAGCAAAGAAGTAATAAGAATCCAGAAAATATTCAACTTGGGTGTAAAAAAGGAAATGTGACAAGGAGAAGTTTTGTTCGCAGTGAAATAGAAATCAGGGAAGAACATAATTATATATTTTTTTGGTCATAGTAAAGTCAAAAGTGGTCTAAGTTGACTTTACCAGTACATTTCTACCATGGTTGATGAAGTACTAATTAAATTTATTTTAGTGAAGTTTCTCAAAGTTTTGTAATCTGAGGTTCTGGATTCACCTATATTCTCCCCGAAGTATTGGTACTCAATTGGCATGCTAAGGTTACACCACAAAAACTTTGTTTTTGTTATCAATGGATTGATAAAGACAAGCACTTGGTACAAATGTGGGAGGCGTGGTGCCCTCATGGTTAGTGCGCTCATCTCAGGATCGAGCGGTCCAGGTTCGAGCCCTGGCTGGGGACATTGTGTTGTGTTCTTGGGCAAGGTACTGGTGAACTTAATGCTGGGGGTAGCCCTGCGATGGACTAGTATCCCATCTAGGGGAGAGTAGAAATACCCCTAGTTGCTTCATGCTACAGAAACCGGGATAAGCTCCAGCCTGGTGGGCCACTTGGCTTGCATGCAGACTTTACCTACTTTTACATGGTAGACTTAGACTATGATAAGAAAAAAAGGTCTTCAATAAAAGCAACATTCCATTTACTTAAACTCTGTGTTTTCAGGTGTGCTGCGGTAATTGGCATTACATGGCACTGATGGAATCAGGTCAAGTGTATAGCTGGGGATACAATGATCATGGACAACTGGGGCTTGGCAGCAAAATGGAGTCCCAAGTATGTAACTCAGCAGTCCACCCAAACCCTGCCTCAATTAGTTTTGTTACTCCCTCCAATCTGGAGTCAAATGCATCACTCATTATGCAACAACAGTCTTGTGATGGATTCCACTCAAAGTTCGAACAATAAGTGCAAATATTATTTACTTAAAATCTGCTCACAGGACAATAACTTTTTAAATACTATTTAAAACACCTCACTGTAGTTCATTTCTCTAGGTGACCCCACAATTAAATCCCTAAGCATTCTCAAGAAATTTAATGTCAAACCTTGTAAGAATGCTTAATGCGTGTGTTATTGTGTTTTCAGCTAATGCGAAACATCTGTTTTAATTGAAATATTGGATAACTTCAAGTTCAATTTTCTCTCAAGGGGTCAGTGTGAGAGGTTAAGTTTCGATAAGATCTTCGTACCTTTATTCAAAATATTAGCATGCTATGAGGTTTTTTTGGTAACTTTATTTTTGCCTTTGTCGTTTGAACGTTAGTTGCAGAAATCATCTTAATGTAAAATAATTTAAGAGTTATGTATAGTTGTCATAGTTACTTTATTTATAGATGACTCCAAGACTACTCCACAAACTCTCTAACAAGTGCATCACAACAATCAGTGTTGGTGCAGAGTTTTCTGTTGCTATGGATACTGCAGGTTATGTGTGGGTGTGGGGCCGAGCTGACTCAGGACAGGTAAGTATCAAGTCTTTCACATGAGCACAACTTTGAAATGAGTTTTCCTCATAGTCTATTGTTTTTTGTTGCAATTTTTAATTATTAAGTTTTAGTGTTAAATTTTATCATCATCATCATCATCATCATCATCATCATCATCATCATCACCACTACCATCTTCACCAACTCCACCAACACCACTGGTGCCATCTACGTCATCTTCAGGATCATCATCAGCAGGATCATCTTGGTTATTGTCATTGTCATCCTCTTTATCGTCGCCGTCATCATCATCATCATTATCATCAATTTATTAGATATCATCATCATTGATTCTTAATGACAATTGTGCAATTCATGAGGCCTCCTTTTCTCTGACCTTAATAACCTAACAAACATAATAAATACCCTGGCAGTCAATTAAGTTCATAATAGTCATAATTCATGTGCACTGCTTTTACCACACCAGTAGCTGCCTCATGATGATCCTTATTTTACCTTTATAACAGCTGGGTTTAGATTTTGGTACTATCGGTGTTGGCAAAAAAGAAGTTTCTATGCCCTGTCAGTTGACCAGTCTTCCACCATTAAATAGAAAAGCTTCCATCTCAAGTGAGGTATGACCTGTGACTTATTAATTAATAATAATAAATACTTTTTCATTCTGTTCTAATGTATTTTCTTGGCTTCCTTTATCAGATCACGATTATCAGTGGAGGTTTGATTACCAGAAATTGAGTGATTTATTTTAAGATTGTAACTGATTGATTCACCAGTCATGTTGATATTTTTCTTTAGTTAACTTTTGAGTGATGTTTATTGCTTTTTGTTTCTAGCATTCATTGAGATGTGATCTGAGTACGGATGTGGATATTGAGTGGGATTTACCAGATCTTTCATCAGTTGGTAAGAGTTTCCATGGTCTGTTCTGCATCGGACTGAGTTTGGTCCAGATAAAGGTACATTTTCTAGGTCACCCACAGAACATGTTTCTGTCGCCATTGCAGGTAATAAATTAGTACCTTATGGTAGAGAAGCTCTTTCCATTGCCTTGCGTCAACTCAGAGATCGTTACTCAACACAGCCAATGCTCAGGTAGATATGTCCAGGTTTTAAAGTGGTGTTTAATTGATTGTGTTGTACACCTCGTTCTGTTGAAGACCTTTGTTTCCTAGTTCTTCTCATTGTTGTGATCACCGAAATGAATGCTCATATGTTGCCAATATATTCTTAGATGTAATATTTTTCTCTGTTACCAAAGGCATTGTTTGGATATCAGGGATTATCTTGCGGCAGCAGTCATTTATGAAACTGTGGGTGACTGGCCTCAGGTAAATATCAAAATCAAACTATCAACACCATATGTCGCATTTTTGTCACACTGAATGTAATCAAGTCCCTGTAGAAATAACAATGAAAGTAAAACTTGTTACTTTCATTCAGTTAACTGCAACATAACGAGGGATTCCAATAATTGACAAACTTGAAAAAATTATCCCAGCAAACAGACCTGATACATGCATGTGTAGTTCAGAAGTTTAAGTGAAAAACTTTTCTTTTTGAAGGTTCTTGGATACAGTTTGAGATTCCTGAATGATTGTTTCACCTCTGCATCTTGTGATGAAACTATAGGCAAACTTCTTTCATCAGCTCTGGATGTTATGCATCACATAGTCAGGTAAAAAGAAAAGAAGTTTGTACATTTGTTATCTGACATGTTTCAGTTCAATAAGGTAATTATTCTTTCTGTTTTTGTTTATCATAATAAATTTATAAGTCTTTATGCACCCTCAGAAAATTCACAGACACTCAAAACAGTGATGAACAATCAACGCAACAGACTGTGTGGTTTCTACAAGAGGTACTTTGAACATTCAAATATATTTTGAATTTTTTCTAATTCTTATTTTTTCCCTTGTGGGTACATTGGTTCATTTTGAAATGCTATTTTTGACAGCTCTTGCAGTTCTGGCATCACAATAATTTGCCCAGTAGCAGCTTGGAGTGTTTCTTCTCTGAATACCTGGACATTCTCGGCTATGCTCTTAGTTTGCTTCTGATCAGGTATTTCTAAGTATATGTTGTCATGTAGGGCATTAAAAATACTTATGTATTATAAGTAACTAAGTGTGATGTATCATGAACCAGTGAACTATATTCTGGATCAAGAAGTCTTCAGTCAAGCTTGTTTGATCAGGAAACGTTATTTGCAATGTGAAAAACAAAATAGCTTTCTTGAAGGCTCTTGACTTGTGCGCCAGCACGTCTCTTGGCTTTGCTGCTTGTGTGTCTCTCAGGGCTCATGCCCCCAACCCAACCATAACAGACTGCTTAAAGGCTTGTCTGCAAACTATGGTAGAGCTTGGAGCAGCCAGCTTACTTAAGCTACAGAACAAAACCACAGCTAAGAAAAGATATTACGTATTACAATAATATTGTTTTTGATTTTTAGGGATCGTTTCCTTTCCCCGACAAGCATGCTAGATCCTGAAGAAACAGTTGCAAAAGAAACAAGTCAAACAATGCTGCCATTTAGTGCTGAATTTTTTAACAAAATCATAACTCATGTGGTGCATCAGTTACAGGAACAAGATCTGGGAGAAGAATATACCTCAGACTTAAAAGCAATTCTTATGCAGTACAGCAGCACAGAAGATGCATCTGATACTAAGGATGAAATGTTTGCACAACCTTTTGCACAATTAGATGCTGGTGTGCAGCTACAAGAATTCCGCACAGCACAGAAACATCTCTGGCAAGAAATCCTGGACAATATTAAGAAGGATTTGGACAGACACCCATACATTGCATTGTCCATGACTGCTGCTGCTACCATTGCATCAGCAGCAGTCTCTCAGCAGCGAGTTTGGAGGGGTGAGGGGGAGGTGATGTTTGAGCCACAAGCTGATGTTGTGTTGTTTACATGCAACCATCACTTTCCCAGAGTGTATTTCCAAGAATTCATCCTGCCAGAATTCCAGCAAAGGATGTCTGAGTTAGTTCTTCCTTTGAAGCATACTACAAAACTGTTGTTGAAGTGTTACAGCAGGGAGGAGGGTTGTCTACCAACTGCCTGTCCGATCTGTGTGTACAACTCTATCAGAATGGAACAAGCCGAAATGACTGTAGAACAAAATGGAAATAGTGAAAGCATACAAGCCAAACCATGGGATATTTGATTTCTGTCGGCTGAGGAAATTCTTGTGTTTTAAGATTTGGAAGGAAGAATCTGATAAACAAGTTACAATAATGTAGATGAGAAAATCTGTGTTACAACATTCTTTGCCCAGGCTTGGCAAAATTCCCCTTGCTTTCTTTAATGAGCTTCCGTCACTAAGCCAAATAAATGTACGGGTAACTTCTCATGCCCAGCTACTGGAATTACCAAATTTTGATATGTGTAACACATTGAAAAGTAGTCATATATCCTTATATATGCTTCATATGCAACATAAGCTAATAAGGCCCTTCAAGATGCTAAAAAAAGAGAAAATCTTGTTTGTGTACTATAATCCACATTTTCTGATAAACCATAGAATGATATGTTGCTAGTACCCTCAGAAGAAAGAACCTCAACTGTTATAACAGAATACTAATGATTTATTAATGCATTACAGCTGTAGTTGTCAGTGGCATAATGATTTTAGTTTTATTAAAAAATTAACAAGTACAAGTATTATTAGAATTGGTGCAAAGTAATTTTAATCATCAAAATATTTTATAGCTGCATTTTTTGCTTGTAAGAAATCAATATTAATTAATAAAATTATTTCAAGTTATTTAGAACATTGTCTAGGAATCAAAAGGTGTTGCTGTATATAAAGAAAATCTCGCAGAATCGTAACTTATAAATAGGAAAAGACAAAGAAAGGATTATTTTGAAAGATATCTTATAATATGTAGCTATTAACAGAATAGTGTTAATAATATTGTTATCACGACGGTACGTGTATCACACATGCATCATTTTTGAAATAAAACAGGAGTGAAATCATTCATATTGGTGAAAAACAAAAGATAAAGACATTTTTTAATTACATTTCATAAAATAAAAGGCATCAAGAAAGAAAAACACCTATTTACTATTAAAAGATGGAAACTTGTCAAACAAGTTCACAAAACATTTTTTGTATTTGTCTTCTTTTTTTGTAACTCAGCTTTGTGGATTATGTTAGTTGATCATGTATAGGAGCACTGTTAACATGTATAAAATCCTCCATCATGTTTTCTGGAGTATCCGCCATTTGTAGCTGCACTATGGTGACTCTCTGTGAAGAAAAAAGAAATGGATCAAAATTTTGCAAGTTTGAAAATAAGATTTGCTGATCTGTAGAATGCTATGAGTGGAGTAGGGACGGCATAGTGGTGACAGTGCTAGCCTCCCACGAATGTGGCCTGGGTTCAATTCTGGCCTGGTGCCAAATGTGGGTCGAGTTCGTTGTTGGTTTTCGTCTTGCTCCGAGGGTTTTTCTCTGGGTTCTCCAGTTTTACTCCCTCCACAAAAACAAACATCTCCAAATTCCAATTCCGCCAGGATAGAGGATCAGCATGAAAACCAGCCAAGGCTGACGTGGCTTCCTCTCTAAATATTGAAATGTATGTCTACAGCTGTGTGAAAATTACACAATAATTATTTATGGTTGTTTGCGGCAATGTACATCTGTTGATTGCAGATCACTGGCCAAACAATCAACATGATAAACAGACAGGGACAACCAAATAAATCTGTGACATGTTGAAACTAGCATCTTGGTCATGTGTGACTGAGGGAAAAATATTAAGCTGATATACATGGAGATTCTCCTAACTAGCATTAGAGAATGAGTATGAAGATTAAGAAAAACTTGTATGCTAATCTTACCTATAGCTCCGTTGATGCTGTGAATGCTTTGGCGTTGTACACTCGTGCTCTTCATCAGCGGAAGTTTGTAGAGGTCGATTTCTGGTTCTTCTGGTGGAGGTCGATTCTTCAGAATGCGACTGCATGTGAATAATATTGTTTCAGTATACATGTATAAAGATAATTTGGCAAATGAAAGTGCTACAAAAAGACACATGGTGAAGCTGAAGGTATCGAGACCATAGTAAATCCCATTATGAAAAAAGAGTGCTTTGTGTTTTAATGGTGGTTCTTGACTCAACCCTAGTCGTCTTTTGAGGTCAGTGGCAATAGTTGAGAGAGTCTGAATGAAACTCGGGGATGCAGAGCAGAGGGGATCATGGGAAGGAAGAAGAAGAGAGAAAGAGATGAATCCTTTGCATCACCCATGAGCTTGTGCTTCCCTTGTTACTATTCAATGAACCCAAGAGATGACTGGGGACAAGTCAGTGGAGGATCTGTGTCATTGCTGAGTAGACAAAAATGGTCTTAGTTCCAGATATGGTGCAATATTGACAATACAAATACAATCACATCTCCAGAACTGACATACATGTACCCTTGGGGTGCTTGTAAACTACTACAGTTCTATAACTTTTTACAGAGTTTTTTTTTTTCAGAATGGTCAGTTTGTAAAAATGTTTCTATCCGTTCAAAGAACTGGTCGATTGTATGTTTTCCACTGTGTGGTATATCCCTCAAGGGAGCAGGGTATAATAACTGATCATTCAGAGACAGGACTGTTTACTCAGGTCCTTTGGGACCCTGAAAAGTATTGTCATTGCATTACGCATTATCATTGCAAGTACTGTCATGGCTTCCTTACCCATGTTGCACTCCAGCCGTCTCAGGCTGAACCAAAGTCTCTGCTTTGGAATAAAGGAATTCTTTATGATGGTCATATGTTGACTTGATAACAAAGTCCAAGCTATCATTGGGTGCCTGTAACAACATAAACACGATGGAGTTAATTACAGCAAAAGCTTTGAGAAGTCATATATCAAACACAAAAGACTGTGTTTGACCACATTTCCAATCACCAAGGAGAGACTTGAAAATATGACATGTCAAGGTGTTTGGAAATGTGGTCAAACACTGTCTTGAGTGTTTTAAATATCTTCACAACTATAAAACTACGGAGAAATAAAATTGTAAAAATCTATGCTGATTAGATCAGATAACCAAACACAGTCACAGTCATGATTTCCTTTGCTTCAACTTGATGAATTATTAATGAGTTTGAGAAACATTTTTGTAAGATCAGCAGAAATCCAATATAATTAACAACCTGCGGGTCATGATGAAAGATTTCTCTTCTTGAACTCGCAAGTGTGGCTGTTTTGTTGAGTCTGTCCCATGGAGTACCCTCTCTACTGGTCTGAGTCAAGGTTCCTGTCTCCTTCACCTGAAATAAATGAGTTGTTCAACAGGTTAATCAGCCATTGTGATACAAATTGTAGCATTTGTTTATGGGTCAATTGAGATTGCGTGTTCTTTTGCCAATTTACCGCGTTTGTTTTAAGATCAAAAAACAAAGTGGACTTGAAAATGAGTAACAAACTTTAATATAGATTGCGGTGGCGAGTTTGAACTGAATCGCAAAAACACTGATCAGAGGTAAATAAATAAATGTTCAATCGAGACAGCCTGTACCCTTTGTAACATAACCACCGATATAAACAACAATTTCACATACATGAAATCTTTGAAAAGAATGCCACGGTATTCATTTACATGTAAACATTCCTATAATATCAATCCTTTTTTATTTCATTTTCCTCTCGTGAAATCAGATAGCAACATTCAATAGCTAATCTTCATTGTTTGCAACAAGACGACGCGCGACTACTTGGTTCCAAAAGCAGAGGAATCATCCTCCACGATTTGAACAGTTTTCTGGCTTTACCTGTTTTCCTTGTTGTCCACAAAAATCACCGTCATTCTGAAGTCTCGGGAAAGGGTAAGGATCGCGAGGCATCTTGATTGTAGAAACAGAAGGAACTCTGAACAAACGTGGAGCGCAGCGTGTTTATCGAAGCAGTCGGTGTTTGTCTTTTTCTGCAAGCGTTCGCGTTTCTATGGCAATAAGTTAGCGCGCGAGATCTGGGCGCCAAAATATGTCCCATGAGCCCTTCATTTTCTGCGGTCCTCTCACCCAGACTTCCTTGCAAGTGTAGTGAAATATGGCGGTCGTGAACACGTGTAGGAGACATGTAGTAGAATATCTCCTTGTTTTCTCTATGTAAGACTTAATTCGACGGGCATTTTCCATAGGATAGTGTAGCTAAGATGGGAATCCAGGGGTTACAGGAGTACGTTGAGGCGAATTGCCCGAATGCTTGCGAAGAAGTTGATCTGAAAGCCGTCCTTCATGGGAAAAAAGCGACGAGCGCTGGTCAGCCGGTCTTGCTTGTGGACGCGAAGAGCTGCTTAAAACATCTTTACGGGCCGACTACAGATTGGGCTTGTGGAGGACAGTGGAACGAAATGCTACGCAATGTAGAACATTTCACAAGGTCGTTCCGCCAGCAAAATATCGAGATTGTGATGTATTTCGACGGTGAAGGCGACTCTGGGAGATTGTATGAATGGATCAAAACTCAAAACGAAAAAAGACAATTAGCTCGGCAAATCTTCGGTCATGTTATGAAAATGAATTCCTATCCAGGAAAAAGACTGTATTTTCCGCCACCTGTGGTAAACACGTGCCTACGGCTTGCGTTTCTCAGTTGTGGTGTTTTAGTGTGCACTTCTATGGCCGATCTTCACAAAGAAATGGCGAGTTATTGTCAAGGCGAATGCTTGGCTGGGGTTATCAGCCATCACGCAGATTTTCTCGTGTTTGACGTCCCGAATTACTTTTCCGCCGATCACCTTAAATTTTCCAAGAAAGACATTACGACAATGCGGTTTAACCGAGAAGCCATGCTAAATGAACTGACACTCCATCACGATCGAGTAGGATTGTTCGCTAGTTTACTGGGAACATCGTTCATTCCAGAAGACAACCTTGGCTCATTTTACTGGAACCTACTAGGTCCAGATCACCCTCTTGCAAAAGTACAGGTAGGTTCTTTCATATTTGTTGAGAATTCATTGTAAATATGTATAAATTAGTAAATATTTTATTGATAAAAGTCAAAACATGGCGTACATACATTAGCACACTTCAACATATTTCATATTGGTCTTCAATTTTACCTCTACTTGAAATGGAATACCTGGGTGGTTATGCTTCATATCACTAACTTGGACAATAACTGCAATCAATGTTATTTTTTCCTCACAAATCAGCATATTGTCCAATAGAACCTTTTCATAAATGGCTCCAATTATATATTCTTTTGTAAATATTGAAATTGGCCTGACTAGCCTCATTTTTTTGAGCTGATAATTCAAAAGAAGTTTTACTCTCAAACGAGTTTAGTGAGGCTAATTTAAATGCATTCAAAAGAATTAAGCTTTTGGCAGCCATCTATGAAAAAGGTCTATATATGAGCAACAAAAGGGATGAAAATAACTAACACAGGAATGTTGTGTTAAGGTAGCTTTGAATTCTCCATATAAAAGTGGAATGAAAGTATGTCAACCCAGTGAGGAAAAGTTTATCTCTAGGACTCTTGTTTTAATTCGTAATGCATGATTAACACATCAAAGTGACAAACAAATAAATGATCATCTCTCATCCTGTTGAAGCTTTTTAGAGTGGCGTTATGGGGAGCAGCGATGGCTCAGCGGTGAGAGTGCTCACCTCCCAAAATGTGGTCCAGGTTCGCTTCTGGCCCAGTGCCATATGTGGGTTGAGTTTGTTGTTGGTTCTCGTCTTGCTCCGAGGGTTTTTCTCCGGGTTCTCTGGTTTTCCTCACTCCACAAAAACCAACACTCCAAATTCCAATTCGACCAGGATAGAGGACCTGCATAAAAACCACCTAAGGCTGATATGGCTTTATCTCTAAATATTGTAATTAATTAATTAATTAATTTATTATTTATTTATTTATTTATTTATTTATTTATTTATTTATTTATTTATTTATTGTAACGTGACAAAGTATCATCATTAAGTAAGTCTTTCATTTTCAGGTCAAAGAGAAGCACCAGCCAATTTTCCCGGCCAATGACATCATCATCACTAGCGTAATTAATTTTCTAAAGAATGTCGCAGATGTTTCAAATCTTCCATGGATTGCTCGTCAAGTATTCCGCTCAGAAAATGTTGACTTAGCTGAGATCACAGAGAAACTTAGAAAGGCTGTGGAACATTACTCGGGCCTTCCTAAGGAGGAATCAGCCCCACAGTCTCCTGGTATTGCTCCAGGTAATAACAGCTACGAAACATTTAAACAAAACATTTAAGATCTTTTGAGGTCCTGGAAATAACTTTATAATGTATTTTCATCAGATGAAGAGATACCATTAGATAAATCCAAGAGCTTCAGGGGTTCCAATAAGGGCTGGGGAATGGGCTAATTAACTTGCTGTGAGGACAAATTTGCCTGCCTGGTTTGACCATCCGGAGGAAAGTTTTTCTTACAAAGAAGTTCAGTTCAGAAAGTTTTGCCTACTTGTGAAAACCAGTTATTCTCCTGCTGAAAACATTAATTAAACCTCTTGAGCATGGGTATTCACAGCTTTTAGATTGCAAGGTTATTGTTTAGTTACATGGTTTTAATCATCAGCTAAATTCTTATGTCAAGCAGATATTATCATTCACTCAATCCACTTATGGCATGCAAGACTGCCACTGCTGCCTTTCGTTTGCTTTCTTCATTTTCTCTCCCCACCTGACTAGAGCTATATTCTTGCTGTACCACCAAATTCTCAGAACCTGGATAAAATGAAATATAGAGCAACCAATATGGAGAATTGTTATTTAAGCGTTTTGTTTTTAAACAGGTCGCAAACAGAATGAACATCAGTATCAGAAGATGTGGCAGCATTGGCAACAGCACCAGTTTGTCCCAAAACCTGCAACTCCACAACAAAAGAACACACCTGTAAGTGAAGTGTAAATACTTTCTTTTTGAATAACTACTAAAACTCTTGAGAAATTCCTTGCAGGGATGTAGCTGAGAAAAAAACTAAGCTGGTTTATTAACAAGCCCAGCTGTTCTTTTTTGCCTTTCCACCTCAAAAGCTACTCTTGGTCTTTGTTTTCTAGTAGAGATTTAGCTTGTGATAAGCTCTCTTTCAGCTAGCAATATTTTCCTGGCAGCCAGCTTTTAGAAAAAAACTTAAATATTAATATCAGCTATAGTACTTGTCAAATCCATTGTTTTCTTGGCTCAGTAGTTTTCTACTTGCAGTCTAAAAGTCTTCCAGTTGCATTTCTATTACATTGAAATTCTCCAGGAAAGTTGTAAGTTAAACTAAGTAACTACCTGTTTCTGTGCAAGTATTTTGCTGCTTACCAAGTGCAGTTTCAGCCTTACTAGATAAGAAACTAAGTTTGTTATTTTGTGTCCACTTTTTCCCAGCTGCCTCAAAACAGTGACAGTACCAAAAAGCAAATTCCCAGTGTCACAGAATTGCAACAGAGTTTATCATCACTTCAAGTTCAGAATTCTCCAGAGTCTGCCATCATGCATTCCTTGCCTTTATCACCCCCAGAGGACCCCCCAGCACTACAAACTACAACAGCTTCATTGTCGCCTCTTCATGAAGGTTCACTACTCCCCAATCCCTCCGTATCACCTTCTGCAGTCCTCCCCACCCCACCACCCTCCTCTGAGTCTTCACCCATGATGTTGACAAGTGGAAAGACGGGTGCTAATCATGTGAGCTCTGTCGAAAATACAGAAGAAAAACGTAGGTTGATGTTGCCATGAAATGTACTAGTTTTCTTTCCTGGTGCTAACAATCATTTCTTAGTTGCTGATAAGTTGATCAAGATTAATCATGGTGAAACCCTAAGTCACCAACAAAATTATTCAAACTCACATTTTTTACAAACACCATATGTTTCAAATACTTTAATTTGTTTTGTTGTATGTTTTGCCTTGTAATGTTGTTTTATTATTATTTGGTAGTAGAAGAGAGCACAGTTAAAGGTGCCTTCCCAGATATTCCGCAACGTGTCCTGGATGTTACTGTCCATCTTCTTCAAAATGGAAAGATGATAGAAACTGTTTACCAAGTTCTTACAAAAGCTGAGATCACCATTGACACCACAATTGAAGATGAACAGTTGCCCGACTGCCTCCCCTCTGCACTCCTGTTCCGTAAAGTTCGTCAAAGGGTCTATGGAATCCTGTTTGACTTGTCAGCTAAGAAGAAAAAAGATGACAAATTTGATGTTAGCTCCTTGGCAGTGAAGGAATGGTGTGTTTATGGTGGAAGGCGTTTGGATGATCCTGATATTGTGGAACCAATTGCTCTTGATTGGGAGGTGCCATCAGTTGATAAGCTCTGGTTCAACAAGGGAGTGACGGCAGATAATAACAGATTGAAAGCTTTTCTGTCTTGTATGATGAGCGACATTCCTAGCATGACACAGACTGTCATTGTACCCAAGAGGCTGGTGATTCTTTGTTGTGTTCTAAGGTAACTGTGTTTGGTATTTGATTAGTTCAATGTTGATTATGGGTTTGAAAAAAAAAGTTTTCCAGTACCTCTAGAACTTCTGCAAAAAAACTCATATCATACAAATTGCATTTAATTTCCAATCAGTAATAGTTTGTTACCAATGTAAAGATACTTATTAATTACTATAACATAGTGCTATTATTAGTGTCCATACGGAGACCACTGTTAACTCAGAGGGATGTGTTATCTCTCATTGTACTCATGGTTTTCAAAAAAGGGCTGCACACTGGGCAAATTGACAAGCTGTAGGGACAATTTTGCCTGCCTGACTAGACCATCTAGAGGTAAGTTTTTGTTATAAAGAAGTTCAGTTAAAAACGTTTTGCCTGGCTGTGAAAACCAGTTGCCTTCCTGCTTAAAACATTAATGTAACCCCTGTCTACTCCTTATCCCCTGTGAATGATTTCTTTGATTCATTGCTTTATTTGATATTTCACAGGTACCTGATATCACATGGACGTTTCATTTTAACAACTCGTGAATTGGATGCTTTCCTTGCCCAAGCTTTGTCTCCACATTTGACAACAGAGTGCAATGCGTCTAATTTGAGAGAAATCAAACTTAAACGGGTAGATGCTCGTGCTGTCCAGCTGGCTTCCATCTTTATGCGTGGTGTTCAAGCTGCCATTTTTGCAAATGATGCTTGTGCTGTTCCTATCCCCTGGGAGCTGGTGTGTCCATGGAATTATTTTGACGGAAAGCTGTTTCATAGCAAGTACCTTATGGTTGCAGATAATGTCTCCCTTCTTGAACTGTGTGATGGAAAGGTATTAAAACATCAACAAATTCTTGGCTTTACATAGCATGCATTGCTGTATGAACCAAATGAAATTGGGCTGTGCAAAAGAGATTTTTCACATTTGAAAAGGGATGTGATAGCAAAAGTTCCCCACCCCCCTCCTGCGACCTTTCCTTTCTCGTCCCATTTTTTGCATGGCCCAAATGTAAAAAAAGCTCTTTCGCACGGCCCAATTTCGTTTGGCTCATATGGGCTGCAAATTCTGGGTTTGATGCATTATCGTTCTCAAAGATGATATTTGTGATTGTTCCCTAGAAAATTCTGTGGAACACTGAGGGAATGGTGCGGTTGAAAGTTTGTGTTATATAATTATTATTGAACTTTGCTTTAGCTAAATTACACTTAGACTACGAGTAGTCCCTCTTTTGCTTAAGTCCATTGACTAAACATGGCTGCCTGAAATCCTGGGGGTGAGACTGGATTTCATGCAGCCTTTTTTTTTTGTGGGTTTCTTCCACATCATTCATGGCAGACTAAGTGAAAGAGGGACTTCTCGAGGTGTTGATTGTACTGTACCACGTAAAAATTTATTGCTATAAGACATGCTGTCTCAAAAAAAGCATGCTCTTTATAGTGATCACAATGCTTCTTTTTACATTAGAGTGGACGAGTGGAAAAGCTACAGCGAATGAAATGGTGCATCACTGAGGGTCTGCAGCAAGACTTTGGTCTGCCCCATGGACTCCCTTCTGGTGCCATGATGCCACGTTTCCCTGGCCAACATGGTGATGGTTTGCTTCCAACACCTGTACCTTATGCCTTTGGTCCTGTGCCACCAGCTCTGCAAAGTGTTGGGATGCCCAACTTCTTCCCAGCTGGTGCTAACATTCCACAGATGCAGGGAATGGGTATGAATGCCAGGCGTGGCCGTGGTCCAAATAGCAAGCAGCCTGTCTCTGGACTGGGGGGTCAGTTAGAAGTTGCTGGGGTGCCTATCGCTCGCTGGTCAGGTAACAAGGCAGGGCGTGGCTACAGTGATAAGGATCGCATTGTGGTTGGTGGTCCAATGAGTGTAGAGATGGGGAGACCAAACAGATGGGGGCGTGGCGGCTCTGCACGTGGAAGACGTAGCGGCAGTGTTGGTTCCCGTAATGTGACCTGGGCTGTGGAGGTTGATAAAGAGTATGACAGAAGCATAGGCTATGTGGACCAGCCAACTAAACCCAAGAAGTCATCAAATATCAGTCAGGTTCGAGAAGGAGGGGATGGTGGAAACGACATCCCAATAATCGCTCGTGGCCGAGGAGATGGTGGAAACGACATTGAATCACTCGGTACAGATGGTCTTGCATCTGGACTTCCCATGCAGGGGGCTCTACTTCCACACACCATCCCTGGACAGATGGCGGTCATGTCTCAGTCCCCACAGATGCCATTCAATGGTCAATCATATAGTACACCCCCTCCTGAGATACCAGGTTTACCCAGGGGTCAGGGCCTCGACAAGGCCCCTGGTAGTCAAGTGCCGATTATCCTGGCCAAACCTGGAGACATACCAGTGGGTGTAGCAAGGGGTCGAGGGGTTAGTGTGAGCATGCCTGGGGAGATTCCACCCTACAATGTACAGCCTGGAATTGTTGACACTGCTAGCAGCAAAGGGAGAGGCTGGTGGTGGGAGAAACAACAGCAACAGCTACCACCATCTTGAATTCTTTGCGTCAGCACTAATTGTTTATCTCAATCATGACAGGGGTAAATCCCCCTTAAACAAACACCCTGTCAGTTTACCTATATTTTTTCCAAAAAAAAATCTATTAATATTATTTCTATTACTTTGATGTTGAAGGTTAACTGTTTTGGTTATTGAACCATCATTAAAACAAAATGGCTCTTGGTTCAAGCCCAGTTACTTCCTGTTTCTTGTGAAAGATCAGAAATATTCATTATTATTCAATAATTTGATCGAGTTTATTTTCCCTCTCGTCTTCCTACACAGTCTGAATGGTCACAGGAATTGCAAACCATGCCTTGGAAAATGTATTTACTCGTGATTTGTTTGGGAAGGTGTCAATTTCTTTGTTATGAGAGAAAAGATTGTTCAACTTGTGACATGTTAAGATCGTCTCACATCATAAGATGTGTGACGATGTAGTTGTTAATCACACAATTCAAATCGAGGCTGGTTTTGAATGGCAGTCATTTGGGTTTATAATTATTGTAATTTCTAGATGCATTAAATTGGTTAATCATGTTAGGTGCAAAATCTTATTTGCGTTACGGTTGCCATTTCGTGGTATAATTATATTGACTGGCAATATAATTGCCTAGAAAAATTGTTTAAAGTCACCCATGTTATTTGATTTAATTGCGGAAAAAATACAGGCTGTTAGCATGGCAGGCTTGCCAGTGAGCCCAGAGAAATTTTTGCACCTTAACTCCCCCTCCCCAGTAGCAAAGGGGGTTTGATAAGGCAGCACTTCACTTGCTTTGGTTTTCAATCCACAGGGGATCTGCTATCAGCCTTCAAAAGATAGGAAGGCCAAGATTCGATTTTCATTTTTTGAGGAAATTAACGTAGTGCTAACATAGAACATTGTAAAATCTTCAGGTTTTTGATATTACCCATCTTAAGCTGAGTAATGTATTAAACTTCAATTTTTTTAATTAAGACAGTCGTTTTTCTTATTAATTATTAATTATATACGTAACTTTATTATGATGTTGTCCCAATAAATGCCGTCTTTCAGTCTCATTGCTACTCTTTCGACTTCAAGTAAACGGCAGTGGCCCAGTCCTGTATGGAGCCGCACTGTTTTTGGTCAGCCCCTGTTAAGCGCGCACAGTAAGGAAAAGAGACTGGGTACAAGGGTGACCAACCGAGAGAACTGACTCGAGAAGTTCCCACAGAAATTTAGCCCTTTCACATGACTTCACGTCGGCCATGTCGGTGTTCCCCCTGGAGGGTACTCCCTCAAATCGGCCATATAGGTATGTGTGGCCCCAAAGGATATGGTTTTTTAGCCATTTGGGTCATAAATAGGTTATTGATTTTAGCCATTTTGATCATTAATAGGGTATGGTTTTTGCACTCTAGTCTTGAATTGGGCATCTTTTTTTTAGGAGAAGCTACTTTTTCATCACTATAGATAAGATCGATCAACAACAGACGATGCCTTTAACATCGGTCTGAACTAGGGAACTAAGTATAAGGCAGGTCTGAAACAGGGTCTTGATTTATGGTCTGGTCATAAATTTGGTCGCAAATAGGGTAAGGGTTTTGGGAAGCGGGACTCCCTCCCCCATCCAATTTTTCTCGGAGTATTCCACCCCCCAGGTGTTCCCGAACAATGAAATTTCTCTCTTGTGGAAATGAATTCTTTCCTTATGACAAAGTTTGCTATTGTCTGGGAACACCCATATGGTGTAAAGTGGAGGGGAACCATTCTCGTCCCCAGAGCCTCCGTTTCTTTTGGTCACGCGGTCGGCGAAACGATGAGCTACTCGTAACGACATTTTAAAACGAGTAGCACTGGGGACGAGAATGGAGGGGGACACTTGCGTTTCTGCGACGTTGGTTGGTTAATTCGCTTTGGTTAACGGTTCGTTCATTCATTTCGTTTTTCAGAAACAGATGTCGCTAGTTTCTAATATCTTGCCTAATTGATCTTGAGGGTTCTTTCATTCTAACAAACAATTCAATCACTCAAAAGTGTAATAGCCGACCATTTGAATGAAGAATCTTCACTCGATCAAACTGAAGGAATATATTTGTATCGGCCTTGAGTGCAAATAAAATCATGCAGGACCTTGGCGGATGTTATTATTTGACGGAATAGTATGTTATCAATCCGAAAAAAACGCGGAGAAATATCGAGTGTTGTAAAAATAAAAACCATAATCACTCTGACCAATCACAAAGGGCAGATAATCCAGTGAACCAATCAAAATTCGAAGTAATTACATATAGCTGACACATAGCGCGGGAAAACGTGTGCGAGCGAGGCTCGATTGGTTTTGGTTTTACTTCTGATTGGACGAGAGTGGCGCGAGTTTCTTAAGCCAATCATATGGCGTGCAAGTAATGCAAGGCCAAACTGAAAAAAAACGCGAACTCTTCTCGACCCGCAATGTCAGAATATCAGTTTTAATTGATTCATGTATCTTTTTTGACTAATACTAAACTGCCAAATGAACTCAAACAACATGCGATAAAAGATGTCGGTTTATGAAATTTCCTTCTGCACTTCAGTCAAAGATAAAATATTAAAAAGACTTTCATATTCAAATTTACCTACTAAACTACCGTCAGCAATAGACAGCCTCTAACCGATTGTGTTTTTATCTTCGATGTTTCGGTGCAGAATTTAATATCCGTCCTTTCTCGGCTGTTAGTTGCCTGGAAATAAAATCGTTTCAATTTTTTTTCTCGCGTAAGAATTTGTGTTATTGATATCTCATACGTGATGATACAAAATAATAACTCTTGAAAACATTTTTGAAATTAAAAATAAGAGATTTGGAAAGTAATGGGCATCCGACATCCTTAATTACTTCCTCGTTACATTATCGACCATTACATAAGTTTTCGTATCTACTATAAATGTCAAGCATGGAAATGATGTCACCGAGCTTAGAATAACATGTTATCGAAGGAAAAAAACATTCCTTACGTGGTACAGGTATACATATCAAATACTTGTTTGTTCAAAAACTAACATGAAGAGTTCTTTAAGAACTTACTCTACAAATGCAATTAACCAGAGGACATCATCATCCAATGTACATTGCCAATTTATCTGGCCTAGATTTTGTTCTTGACTTATCATTGTTTATTCAAATATGCTCAAAAAATTAATAGAGTATGTTGCCAGAATAAATTTAGATTAAAAAACCCCTCACATTGAGATCCTGAAAGATGTGGCTTGACCGCAAAATGTTTTGGCACAGCTTAACAGTGGAAAACAGAAAATGCCACGAAATGTTATCACGTAATATATAAGAAAAGATAGTTACAGTGAAAAGCTACTAAGTTACCCGGTAAAATTTCTATGAACTTATTTGTTTTTTGGAAAACTTGAAATAAATTAAACCGATTAAAATCACATTTGACACAAGGGTTCCGGTCTGAAATGTGCATTTTTGAAAATAAAAGAATAAACGGAAAACACCTACTCGAGAGACATAAGTTTCTACACTTTTATGAATGTACCTAGTTCGGTAAAACTTTTTTCTCGTTTTTTGTCGTCCGCGAATTAACCTCATCTGATGACGCAAAAGCAAGACCAGAAACATAGCTATTAGTCTATTTTGAAGAAAAATTTTTATCGAAAGATATAAAATTTAGAACAGAAACGTATGTTATGTATGTGACGATCATCTGAGCGGAAACGCTTTTATGGCAAAAGATAAACTTTCAACCATTCATTAGTTTTATTGCGCAAATTGATGACCTCTTCGAATAGACAGCCTTGTCCTTAATGAGACATATTGCTAAATTCACCATTAGGCTTTATTTTCACTGCTGACAAGTTTGCTCTTTCCTGTAAATTAAATCACTACTACACTCTCTATTCAAACCACGTAAATGTAAACTTATCGTACAGTTTTGAAATAACTTTCGGATGCTGCATGTCGAAGTTTGTTACATCATGTAAACCGCACGATTCTGTCTCCGTAGATCACCATCAAAGAAACCGCACTATTGATAAATAAACGGGCAATGAAAGATTTCGACAACTTGTCCACCACTCCGTGTCATCTGCAATATTTCCCAGGATTTTTCAAGATCGCACGGATTATATAGATTAAATGCAAACTCTTAATATTAAAAGTGTCCATGAATATGTCAAGCGTATTAAGATGTCTGAATTCATGTCGGCTTCCTTAGATGCCGATTTCGCGGCGTTTATTTCTTCTCGAAAATTTTCTGCAGTACCCTTTCAAGTGCTAAACGAAACCGACAACTCCTCCAGTAATAAACGTACGGGTTTAAACAACTGTTACAAAACGCCACCGTGTTTACCCAAGGAAACGCGCGCTTTGCCTTCAAGACGACGGCGGGCGACGCGCCGACGGTAAAGAAAAACGGCAGAATGATGAGCGGCGCAATGCAGAGATAAAACGCGCCAACAACCACTGCTATCATGTAAACAATCTTACGCTCTCTTGGGAATCTTTTCTGCGAGGGCGAGAGTTTTTTCGCTGGAAGACGAAGTTTCTTGATCCGTTGATGTTGGAGTCGCACGATGTAAAATGTCCCCGCGTAGAGAATTGGTATAATGAGTAGAATCACTATTACAAAATATTGTGCAACGTGGCGCGCTTTTCTGAACGTGGCAGCTGGAGCGCCGAAACCGATTGCTATAAGCCATGTGAGAACAATGGCACTCCAAATTATACGATCAGGAATGAAGAAACTGTAGCGATGCAGAAAGAAAAGCGATAAGAAACGCTCAACTGAGATCGAAAAGAGATGGCTGACAGAAACTAGCGTCGAAATCCACGTTATGGCTTTTCTGATCATGTTTAAATGAGAAGGTAGCAAGCCATGCAAGAACAGAACATACATGGGCTGCGCAATGACGCAAACAAGTAAATCCGCCACTGCTAAGCTTGCGATGAATAACTCTGCTTTGGGCCGTCCTAGAAAACGAAATTTCATCACCACAATGCACACCAAAAGATTGCCCACAAAACCAATGAGGCTAGCTGTTGAGTTGATCGCTGCAAGGGCTTTCATTTCCGAGGTACTTGGGCCAAACTGAGGCCTTGTCACTCTCAAAGTAGAGCCACAAATCGAGGCCGAAACGACGCTGGAGTTCACACTTTCTTTACCCACTGTGCAATTTGCGTTATTGAGAGAAGTCGTCATTGCATGCAAATTAAAGGTGTAATCACAAATATTCAAGGCTTGATTTCCTCAAGACGTGAGAAAGAGCTGTGTCTTTTACGCTGTCCTTTGCAAAGAGATTCCTTTTCATGAGATTGCGGAATATTTACTAACAGTTCGCCTTTTATAATGGTGATTTCTTCAGCATGAACGCAATTTGCAAAGTCGGAACGTTATGCAGCAGGTGTCTTCAAATAAGATTTTTCTGACATCAGTAGATTTCTTTATGTACTGTTCCCACGAAGACGCCGTGTTTTTGAAATACAGCTATCTTCATTGTTATTTCTGTTAAAGAGATAGCAACTCATATCAGCATTGATATCAGGTTTTTACGATCTCGGCAGCCAATCAAATCGTTAACGTATTTCCTTGGCCGTGCGAATTAACTTCACTAAGAGTGGGCGCCTTTGTTACACAAATATAAGAAAGAGCATCTCAAACAGATTTAAATGGCTCTATCAAAGCTACCCGAATTACATTATGGGAAGACTTGGATCTGGAGTTTGCAGTACGTTAAAAACCACACTATGTTGAGCATGGAGATGAAAACTGATGAATAAAAACAAAAGTTTTAGTAACATTTTCTCGCACACTGTGACAATGTACGTATGAAAATTAAAAAAAGGATCCATTCAACTTGTTATTTGGGTCAATTTTGCAAAACTGAACTGCCTTCAGAGCTTCGTTAAAAAAAAAAAAGAAAAACGATTCCAGATTTCTGCGGTAAAAGCTATTCAGAATACTTTCGAAACTAGCCGACAAAAAACTGAAATTACTAGAAGATATTTATAAAACCTTTTCCATGGAAGAAATGATTGTGCTTAAAACAACTGAAAGACTCAACATCGCATGTTCTACGTGATTTAAAATGCGTAGCAAATTTGTGCTCTATAATTTTATTTCTTAACCGAATTAAGGTTGCAGAGGTTAATTTTCTTGATGAGAAAAAATGTTGTTTTGGAAGTAATCAGCGTTTACGGATCTCGCTTTTGTATATTTAATCCCTCTCGAATAATCTCGTAAATCTAATACCTATTATTTCGAAATGTGATGGAAATACTTCGGTGAAAACAAAGTCATTAACGATAAACGGATTGTGTATATACACACGTAAAACATTAGTTTCGGTTGAATGTTAAAAGCACCTGTCTGTCGGGAGGCTCTAGCAGCGGCAATCAAGATGACGGAAAATTAAATATTGAATCGACTTATCTCCCAGTTTATGGAAATCTTACGCGAGCGAGACAGGCTAATTTAGGCTCCGCCCACACTACGCCGGAGGAATTTGAAAACGCAGTTTTATTTCCACGGTTAGGTCTACCGTTCACACTAATCCGTCACGGAAAAGGAGCTTTTCAAAAGCGCTCTTCAAACCAGAGGAATTTGGAAACGCAAGCTTTTCGTTTTAGTGTGGACTGGAAACATTGCGAAAACGGAGCTTTTCGAAAACGACGGCGTCACGATATATAATCATGTCATTCCTCTGACCGAGTTTCCTGGAATACAAATCTAAAATGATGATTGTTGCGTTTTTAAATTCCTCGGGCTTAGTGTGGACAGAAAACATTTGATGCGTTTTCAGAGTGAAACTCTCCCAGCGTAGTGTGGACAGCGCCTTAAAATTCGTGCACGACAGCATGGAATTACGCATCACTCACGATTAGACACGTTGGGTAGGTATTTGTGAGCTTTTAATTTAAAATTGTTACTGTTTCTTAATAAATTTTCTTATTTCAATTTACGGAATAAGCCAAATGAACCCTACATATCGAGCAGATTGGATTAGCAGCGGGTTCCAATAAGAGTTTCTAGAATATTTCAATAGATTTTGTAGCCCCACGTCTCAACTTTAATTTCCAAACCACGTGCATCTGAATAATAAATTTCTTTTGCGTTTTGTTGCATGTTGTTACCCCATATGCCGTATCGTGGCATGTTAATGTAACAGCTTCAGAGCCGTGAAAAGAATTCGTTCATTGTTTCGAATCCAATCGTAGAATCAGAATGGTAAATGTTCGAGTATCGAGGAAGATTTACCATAACTCGTCACTTTTTGAAATTACTTTGTAATCTTTGCACTGTTTTCCTTCCTGGCAGGAAACAGTCATTTCTTTCGATACTTAATTAATCGGTATTTGCACTACCCGGTAACAAACAGAAATATATCGCAGTACAGTCTGATAAGTTTTATCACACGGCCTTCTCACTGCCCTATGCACGTCTTTCCGTATTTATCCCACGCATGACGTAAGCATACCCGCATTCGGGTTCTCAGATTTTGTTTCGAATTGTTTTTCACTTGGTAAACAACTCCTTGTTGTGGACAGTTGTAAATTAACTTAATTATTACGCCTACGTTAGCAGCTTCCATACTGACCGGGCACGACATTGAAGTCTTTCATGTTTATAAAGCGCGCAGCTCGGTGCTAAGCGTTTTGTGCCTTGGACAAAATTTCACGTTTACAACTTTCTGACCAGAACAAAGCAACTGTAATTTAAAATACGTAATTGACTTTACTATTCTGGCTCTACGTGGAAATCTTTTGCGTCCAGTGCCAAAAATATCGGGGCTCGAGTGTCCACTGAGCGGTAAAAAGGTGAAAAGTTTTGAGCAGTTCTGTGATGCAGCCAAAAGGAGAAAAGAGAAGTTAGTAGTACATGCTTTCATCGAGAGTGAAACGATTTCATGAACTTTAGCGTAAATTTTAAGTCTCGATTTCAGGGATGAAAAGAATCGGAAATATTTTGTGGGGGAGGGGCGTATTACATATCTATGCTTTCTAGCTACCTTATTAACAGAGAGTAAGGTCTTTACGGGAAAATCTCAGACCGAGGCCTTGCCGTATTGACTGTGCGATAGTGACGTCATACGGCAAGGTCGAGGTTTGAGATTTTCCTGTAAAGACCTCACTCTCGGTTAACAAGTTGTTTATTATATGGCTTTTTGCTTTGTTTTTGCAAGCCCGTAATCAGCCCGTGGGCATTATGGGAGAATAATGCCCTACAGTCAGCCAATTAGAGCACGCGTTATATCGGCTACAAACACAAGCCATATAATAAAGACACAATAAGACATGCACCAACGTTTCCCTTATATCCACTATTTGTCCCAGCTTACACCTTTTTGTGAAAATAAACTGCTCCTCTTGATATTGTCTTCTGGTACTGATATTACTTAACCTCCTCAGTCACCATGGGATCTTTCAAAGTTTTCTCTTGATCTCATTCTCTCTTTCTTTTCAATCTCTCTTTCAAAACCTTTGTCGGGCTAATGCCAAAATAATTGGGAGGGGTCTATGAAAATGTGCCTGTCTTGCTCACCATTCTGGTGAGTCCATTCATGGGATATTTGTGCAGTGTTTTGTTTTGTTGTTGTTGCCATTCATTACATCATTCATCCAGTTTGCATGTAACATTCTGAGTCTCCATCCTGGTGCATAAGTGATCAAGAACAGTATCTCATGTATTTCTGTTATGTAGGAGTTATTTTTTAGCTCCAGTGTAATGTCTTGTCTTTTGTATCAGGCTTGTGCTTGGGCAGATATGGTAGCCTAATGCATATGGTTAGCCTTCTCAACTCAGGCTCGAGTGGTCTGGCTTCAAGCCCTACCCAGAGTCAATGCTCTGTGTTTTTGGGACAGACAATTAACTCTCTCAGTGCCTCTCTCGACCCAGGTGTATGAATGGGTACTGACAAATTTAATGCTGAGGGTAACCCTGTGATAAAGTAGCATCCCATCCATGGGAGAAGAAATACTCCTAGTCAATTAACACCTGCCAGGATCCTTTAGCATAAATATCTTGCTTCTAGAACTTTATTTATTGTACCAAGAGTGATACAAAACATGAACTAACAAACAAAAAAAAAAGGCAAACACAAAATTAAAAATGACTAACGACAATCAATAATATCAACATGTCATTCAATTCTGTCTGTTTTACTCTTTGCACATCTGCATGATGAAAAACAAAAAGGATACATACAACGTTTTACTGCTGGAATGTTAACAACAATGATTTGTGTGGATGCACAATCACTGTGATTCAGCCGGTTCATTGTCTGCTTCTGCTGTTAATGACTCACTTAATCGCTTTTCTTTCTGCCGTCTGTTACAGAACCACACCCGAACAACCTCTTTCTCAATACCAAGGTTTTGAACAAGCACATCAATTTCTTGTGAGGATGGTCTGGGATTTTTATTGAAGTAGTTCTCCAATGCAGTCTTGGCAGTAAGCTCAATTGATGTTCTCTTCTTCCGTTTCCTCACTGGAGAACCTGGCACATCAGTGCCGCTTGCAGAGCCTCTGTTACTATCTGCTTCCTCGAGCCACTTCACCAACAATGGCTTGAGCTTACACATGTTCTTAAAACTCAGTTGTAGAGCCTCAAAACGGCAAATGTGTGTCTGGCTAAACATACTGCCATAAAGTTTCCCCAGAGCTAGTCCAACATCAGCTTGGGTAAAATGGAGCTTGATTCTACGCTGTTTGAACTCCTTTGCAAATTGTTCCAGGTCGTCTGATGTAGTTGTGTCTTCTTCGGAACAAAATTCCACCACATCAATCTCCCTTTCTAATGATACAAAGTGATAAAAATATTTTAGAAATTTATTTGTTACACTATGATTACATTATGACTGGGTCAGCTTCTGTTAATCACATTTGAGACAAGGGGAGACTTACTAACTTGACCGGGTATGGGATGAGTGAAAAAAGGCCTGTATATGTAAGGGATGACCATTAGGTATGGATGATTATTTTTTACGGGAGGGGGGGTTGGGAAATTTTCTGAATTCTGAAGCATGAAATTAAAAATCAAAATAATGATAGTAGAAAGCACTTGCTCAATTTTTTCCCCATGGCTCCCATTGCACGATTTTTTTTCAGCAGTTTTTGCTGTGCAGGAATTGTTTTGGAAATCAAACCCCTGCCCCCCTCCTGCCGCCTTATCTGAGCCTGTGACTAGGACAGAAAGTAGACTAAAAAAATAAATTTGACTAAAGGATGATCAAGGAGGGTCTGATATCATAAAAACGTAGCTAGTGGTATTGGATTTCTGACACGTAGCTGGAAAAACACTTTGGTTATAAAACTAAGCACAGTTCAGGCGGAGAAAGCTCATGCTCAAAACCTTGCGAAAGAAGCACAGCAGAGCACGGGAGAGTCAGATGCAAATTGCGTGATTGCGACAGTCCTGAAATCCGATCGATTATATCGTTTATCGTCTGGCTAGAGTTTGCTAGAAATATTCTAGGAATCTAGTATTGCGAAAGTTGTTGACATCGGATTCCCTTGAGAAAACACGTATTTCGCGCCACTTTTGCTACACTTTCAAAATGGCGGATTTCGTCCGAAAAGGCCGTCTATCGAGTTCTGTATTTAATTAAAACGAACATACCCTAGTAAGTAATACATGCTTACTTTAGAAAGCAATTCACCTGTACTGTCTAAGTCCTGTTGTTGAGATTCAGCTCGGATTTCAGTGAAGTTTCGCTTGAGAAGTTCTGCTTCCATGTTAGTGAGACCAACAATCTTACTCTCCAGGTTATCGTCTTGAACGTTAATAAAATGCTTCACCTTCACGATTCCTAAGCGAATGAAAACTTCTCGGTGCCTTTGCAAGTCAGCACGATTTAAAAGATAACCAATGTCTTTCTCTAAAATGTCATTTGGATCGGAGATAACGCTCGCGCCTGCTAACTCGACCATTCTGATCGATCGTGTCAACCACTTGTGCGTAATCGTTGCGTGACAGCACAAATAAACGTGGAATGTGAGACGTCGCATGTTGTCTGCTTGTCAAATCCGCCAAACTAGTCTCGAAATCTGGTCTCATTCCCGTACATTCGGAGCTTGCAACCCACAAAATACAAACTTTGCCTTGACTCAAGAATTAATTTAAGATTAAATATATACTTTCTTTTTCTCACTCATAATATGTTTTACTTCGTTTTTCGCAACAGGCTATTTCACGTGGGAATTCGAACGCAGTTAACCGTTGGGACATGAGCTGACATGATGATGTCTCAAGAGAAACCACTAATAAAACGATGACCAAGTCCGGAAACTTTGTTAAAAAAGAATCGTGGTCGTATATTAATAGTCAAGTACTCTCGCCGAATTTGAAAGAACCCCATTTAAACCATTATGACTTCAAAGATAGCAACTTGCTACAATGTAGCTTATTCAAGCCATTCAAAAAAATGTGAAAACGTTCTGATTTTCATCAGCTTCCTTTTATTTTTACTTACTAAGGTCATTGCTTTATTTCTGTTTTAATCTTTAACTATTTTACATAAACGTTTTTACATACATCGTTCTCTTAGTTAAATGTCGCAATATGTCGTAACTCCATCATTTCTCCATTGTTCCAAAGTGAGATGTTTACAATGCTGATACTCCCCATTTATCAAAGTATAAACGCTTTCGTTTTGTAAAGACATGAAAGGATCCTTAATTGCTTAAGCGAAAAAGAAAACAAACATTGTATCTAGTATTTATTTTTTACCGTTATAAGTATGTTATACTATTAACGTTTAAATAATATATAAGCTCATATAAAAAATAAATTTACAAACGTCGAGATGAAGAAAATGAAAACGGAAAAAGGACAACAGTTCAAATTAATATAAGTATTAACAAAACAGTCCGCCCGTCCTTAAGAATGAATACACAAGCTTACAAAGTCTAGCAATGTTATAGTGAAGGCCTGGAAACCGTGACATACAGCACAAGGGGAGATGACATATGTAATGGCAGATCATTCTGATCCTACTTGTTGCTCGTCTGGTGGTGTTCCAGTTGCTATCGCACTTAACCTCTTTTCTTTTTGGCGTCTGTTGCAGAACCACACTCGAATAACCTCTCTATCGATGGCAAGGTTTTCTGCAAGCATTCCAATTTCTTGCGCGGACGGTTTGGGGTTTTTACAGAACTCGTTTTCTAGCGCGCTTTTCACGTTGACCTCGATGGACGTTCTCTTCTTTCGTTTCCGTTCTTGAGCTCCCAGCTTGTCAATGCCACTTGCAGCGCCCTTGTTACTATCTGCATCCTGTAGCCATTTAACCAGCAGGGGCTTGAGCTTACACATGTTCTTAAAACTCAGTTGCAGAGCCTCAAAACGGCAAATGGTCGTCTGGCTGAACACGTTTCCGTACATCGTTCCAAGAGCGAGACCGACCTCAGTCTGGGAGAATCCAAACTTGATTCTTTGCAGTTTAAACTCCTTGGCAAATTGCTCGAGGTCGTCCGATGTAGGAGTGTCATCTTGGGATATCAATGGCTCCATCGTAACAATTTCAGCACAAAGAATCAAGAGAAATCAGGAGAGAAACTGAAATATAGTAAGGCGAGATATTTGAGGAATAAATGAATAAATTACTTAGTAATTGAGCAGGCGATAAAGAAGCGTCCTTTCCCAGCGGTTTGTACCGTAAAAGCGTCATGCGCGAGATGTTTGTGATCGTTGCCATGGTGATTTGCACAGTAAAAAATATGGCGACGGAGGTCAGTTTGTTTTCGCACATGAGTTTTGCCTGAGATTTCGACGAATGTGGGGAATTTGTTAGAGATATTTCCACCATGTCACACAGGTGAGATTCCAATAACTTGTTTTACTATTGCTGATGGGAACAAGATGAGAAATACTGTGATTTTAAACCTCGCGGGCAACGTGAATGTATGCGTACTTTGTAAGAAATTAGGAGGTTACCAGGTCAAGGGAACATCTTTGGATCGTGGTCGTAGCTGCGTAGTGAGTTATAAAGAAATTCAAGACACTGTTGATGTCTTCTTTATGCTATAAAGATTTCTGCGAATGTTATTTGTGGTACCTGCGACCTGCAAGACCAAACGAGGGACTGTTTTCCAAAGTTATCTCAGTTTTAGCAAGACAATTATAAGCTTACTGAATAACTTCCTTAATTAACTCGTTGAGCTATTTAGTTAGTAATGGTACAGTTAATATAGAAGCTTATTCTCCATCTGTGAAGCAAAGCATTCTGTGCTTTGTAAGAAGTTTGCATTCTGCTGTCAGCTGTTACAAACATCACAAATGCTGACCTAGCTTACCCTAGAAAAATCCTGATCGTGATAAGGTTATCTATTCACTTTTGAGCCCTGCAATACCTAGTTCATTTTTTGATGGTGTGTGACATTTGAAAGAGACTGTTTCCTGGTACTGTACATATAACCCTAAAAAGGCAAACCTGTATGGGCACTATTCATTTTGAGCCCTGCAATACCTAGTTCATTTTTTGATGGTGTGTGACATTTGAAAGAGACTGTTTCCAGGTACTGTACATATAACCCTAAAAAGAGTTCTGTAACTGGAGTAAGGATCTGCTGGCCTGCAAGCTGCAATAACAAATTGCAATGCACTTGATTTTTTAGCTATTACGGAAAGCAGTGGGTGGAGTCCCAAGGGGGCATACTTGACCTATTGGAGATTGAACTACCACCTGAGCCTGCCAAACCAGAAAAGGTATTTACTGCCACATTACTTGTTCACTAGACAGTGGTTTTCAATTGAGCATCAAAAGTAATCAGGCAACTGCTTTTGTTTTGGTTTTACTATGGTTTGAGATTAGCTGAGTAGTCTCATTGGTAAATAGTTAGTTTGGTTTTGGTTTTTAATAACACTCAGTTGAAGGCTTTTGTGAAAAAAGAGCGTATATAGCATTTTGGGCCGATTTTTATTTTTTGCAGGATTGAGCTAATTTTTGGCAGACTGACTTGTTTTGACATGAAAAGCATCATTGTGTAATTGGTTTTGTTGATTTGCGCTTTGTTTTCGAGAAATAACGTATGCAAAAAAACTCAGTTTTGCAAGCAGCATCTTTTGGAGCGAATCCTTTGAAGGTGGATTTTGACACAGTGCAAACTTAAACAGTTACTTTTAGCAGCTTCGGCAGAGTGGTTTTTTTTAAAATAGATGTTTTGACTTTTGAAAGAAGTAGAGAAATGGACCGGAAAAAAAATTGACCGACCTCGTAACGAACTGGTGTCATGACAAAACAAACTCAAATCCGGCCCATTCAGCATGTTATTTGCTTGTGCTAATGAATCAACAGTAAGAAAAAAGCATAATTATCTGATTAATAAAACTAGCGCCAAATGCCACGCTTCGGTGACTTCATCGTTTAGCAAAACGAAAGGTTCTTTTATTTTTCACTGAACAAAAGATTTCCAAAAGATACCCTTGGAAAACTGAGTTTTTTGCAGACGTTATTTCTTGAAGATGAAGCCCAAATCAACAAAATCAATTACGCAGCAATGCTTTTCATGTCAAAAAAAGTCAGTCTGCCAAAAATTAGTGTGATCCTGGTAAAAATAAAAATCAGCCCAAAATGCTCTATATGCCCTTTTTGCACGAAAGCCTTCAATTTATTGAAAACTGCTCTATTATCATAAATATCAATATCAATTGCTGGCCAAACAGTATATCAGTAGGTCACACTTTTAACTCATTTCATGTTCAGAGGAAAAAAGTTTGTAGTTGCTTTATCTGCATTCACTATTGTACATAATGCAATTCTGGTATAACAAATCCCCTCTTAACAGGTCCGCCTCTGGAATAATTTACATTTTCAGCCCAGCCAAATTTATTAACAATAAAATGAATAAGACAGAACCCTAGTATAACAAATCCCTAATATTATTCAAACACATTTTCCTGCTTACTTGGTATTAAATTCGCTATATCCAGGTTTTATTGTGTGTGATAAATTATTGATATTGTGCTTGTTTATCACTTCTGTTTATAATTTTTTTCTCAACAGGACCGTATTGCAGCTTTTCAAATGTTTGCTGTTATGTACATCAAATATATTCAGATATTTAGAAAAATTGAGGAATGCTATGATCAGGTGAGTCATATGCACATATTGCAGACTTATTTTTTGGTTAAGGCTTAACATTGAATATGAACTTGTGAACTGTACAGTGAGTTATGATATTTTGTTTTTCTTAGGTTGTTCATCCCCAAAAAAGAAGAGTCCTTCGGCATTTACTTGATGGAATCATGGGAAGGTAGAAAAATACTTGAATCAAAGTAATTTAAAACTCTATCAAGGCAATGTTGTATTCTACTTGCTTGTAAAAAACTTATTTAAGTATGCATTTGGTAATTCACTGCAACCATTCAGTATTATTTATTTACCATTCAGTTACAGTAATAATAAAAACTGAAGCATTGAATCCTTGTTTCATGAACTACACAAGGAAGACAGAATGTCTGAGGCCCTTTGTATAGAATATGAGATGGGTTTAACAAACAAACAGATCCTAAAAACTAATACTGACAACTCATGCTGTGCTTATTCATATCTGCTGCAGGATTTTGGAACTAAAGAATGAAATGGTGCTTTTGGAATACTCAGAGTATCATTATTTTGATGATGTACTGTCTGATCTCAAACTCACACCAGTAAGTAACCCAACGTGCCACATGTGTAGTTAGATATGTTAATGTACTTTATTTTGCTCAAAGATCTTGCCAAAATCTTTGAAAGTCTTGGAGGATCCTTTGTGAGATCTTTTAAGGACAGTTAAAAATTCCTCATATTTCAGGATCTTTAGTACATGTAGGTCTTAAACTAATGATCTTTTAAGATCCTCAAAGATCCTGTAACATTTTCTTAGTTTTAAAACCTGTGCTGATACATCATTCTGTCAGTGCATGTCCTCAATCAATTTTTTGTGTGATCTTTTTTTGTTGTAGGAAGACATAGAAATTCCTATTCCAAAATACTTTACGTATGAGAACTCTAAAGTGCTGCAAGAACGAGAAAAGATGCTTGGAGGAATACTGGCAAAGATGGGACCTCAAGAAACTACACCTGTGAGTGCAGTTAGTTTTTGCTAAAAATAACTACTTCAATTTATTTACTCTTCAGCTGTTAATCATTTTTGTATCAGTGAAATGTTTAACTGACAACTTGTGAATGTTTGTTCTCTTTGTGTTTTTAAACAGCAAAAAGAAGAGATACAGATGACACTTGATGATGCAATCAGACTAATTCAGGTTTGTTAACAAAGTTTTTATGAGAATCTCCTAATTCATAATAATACGACTTTTAAAAGTAAATTATGTATGGTCAGTCAGTGGAAAATCTGAGGGTGGGGAGAGGTCTCAAAGCCAAATTTTTAAACAAATGTATGAAGTAAACTGGAGTAGGCTCTTGTCTGGAACAGTCTTGGCTTTCAGTTAACAGCTTTTTGTAGCCATAGTTAGGTTTCTCTGAAATCATTACAGCAATAACTTCTCAATAACTGTTGATTGGCAGGGGATTTCCTCAGATGATGAGGCCTGTGTTAAAAAAAAAAAATTCATTGTCCGTGTTATATGTCTTTATAAAGGGCTGTGAAATACTCAACTTTGTAAATTACATTGCAATTGTTGTAGGTTCATGAGAGGGCTAGACAAGGAAGGCTGAGAGCAAAATTCATGAGAGAAATCAGGTTTGATATATGATCGTGCTCATTTTTAATTTTCAGGAAAATATACTACTAACCCACAGTAGAACGTAACTATCTCAAACTTGGTTATCTCAAATTTCCTGCCATCTCAAACTCAATGATCATCTTTGCTTTGATATACCTGCACTTTTTCGGTTTGGAGTACACGTATCTTGAAACCCTGACACCTCAAAATATTTTTGGTTTCCAATAAGACTTTCGCAGTAGCATGGTTTAGCTGAACTTTTTTTAATCAAGTCGATTTGACTATAATTGCCCAGGGGTGCACCTTATTGGCCAGCCTGAGTATATCCTGAGGTACCCCTTCTAAGAATGGTTCTTGCATGATACTGACCCTTCTTCTGTAGATGTACATACACATACTGTACAGTGCTGATCACACTCTGTTGCTTGTATGTGCATGTAGATAAAATAGCTCATTTTTCTGAAATTGTATCATAGACAACAAGAAGAAAGAGAACGGCAGGCACAGTTACGTGGAGCTCCGACCATGGATCCTGATGTTGCAGCAACAAAAATTCAAAAGGTTATTGACTGTACAGTTAATTATTGTTTCATTATACAGTTGGACCCTACTAATTTGAACTTAGTTACTTCAAATTCCCCATTATTTTGAATTAAAAACCATTTTCCTTGGATTTCCCCTTCAGTCGTTTACTACTGGCTATTTCAAACCATTTTTTGTTTCCCTTGAGAGTTTGAAATTGCAGGGTTCAACTGTATCAGTTGTGTATTAAACCTGAATGCAAAGGAAGATGTTTAACATAATAATTTACAGAATGTTGTGTTGTAGTCAACCAGAGACACCATGTTCAACATTGCAAGGTCTCCCAATTCTAATCTTGTCCTTTAAATGTATTTCTGGTATAGGTTTGGAAAGGCTATTCACAGAGGAGAAAAACCAAGAAAATGAGAGAAGAGGAATTGATATTTGTGGGAATGGTGAGTTATTATAGATTAATTTGAAAATGTTCTGTTTACCATACTGCTATATTTTACTTAAGATGTAACCTACTCAAGATTTAATATGTCATATTTTTGCTTTAATTTATTCTTACAAGGGATTGAAAAATGCAGCTGTTTAGTAAGAAAGTGGCTAACAAGATACAGTTAACATCTGATTGACTGTGATAATATTGTTTTCTTTAGGCTGCTCCTCCTGATCCACAGGATTGGAAAGACACACCCATGTATTTAGCCAACAAAACTGAGGTATATCACAAGTTCATTTTTGAAGTAATATAAAATGCCAAAGATAGTATTTGACCACATTTCCAAACCCGAGAAGAGAGTTAAAAATATGACGTGCAGCGGAGTATTTTTGAAAAACTTCAAGGTGTTTGGAAATGTGGTCAAACACTGTCTTGAGTGCTTGATATATCTTCTCAATGAAAACTAAAACTAACGAGAAAACGGAGAATTAAAACCATGCATGTAAAAATCTATGCTAATTAAGATCAGATATCCAAACACCGTCACAGTCATGATTTCCTTTGTTTAAACTTGATGAATTATTACTGAGTTTGAGAACATAGTATGCTTATTTCTAATTACTTGTTCTTTTTGAGTGCTACAATTTGTGATGCTGCTTTCAATCTCTGGCTCAACTACAAATTATTATCTCTTTGTCCAGGAGCATAGAAGAGTTGTACAAGAGGAACATGAGAGGGAATACCAACAGGTGAGTCCATGCCAAAAAATAACAACAACAACAACAACCACCACCATTCATGTAATATGGTGCACTAATTAATTTAGTTTGACATTTGAATGTCCTTGACTTCTTGTCTTAGTAAGGATATGTATCACTGCTATTATTGCAGTATGCAGGTTTTCCTTATGACTACACCATGTTTAAACTCTTTTTTCATTCCTCATCACTCTTCCACAGGCACTTGTATCTATTAAAGAGAAGATTCGTGAAATTGAAGGACCAGACATGAAAGAAAACATGCAGGATCAGATCAGACAGTGGTTTATTGAGTGCAGGTTAGTTTTGTAATCATACTTGGCCAGGATCTTCATTTTGTTCTTGAAAAATTGTGTTGGGCAGGTCTTAAGGTCACAAGGACTATAGGTTTTCAATTCTATTGATCATTTAAACTTACCATTGATTTAGAGATGTTTATGTCATCTTGTTTCAGATATTCATAATTATATATTTTCACAAAAGAGTAATAATGAAGATGTTTTTTTAGCAGATTGGGTTGTAAGCTACATACATGTGCATGTTTTAGCCTGTAAGCAAAATATCCATTTCTTATTTGTTTCTGTTTCATAAAAAAAGAGAAAAACAAATTTTTGTCAATGGATCTCCTCCTGTGGATCAATAGCTGCATCCTAAAGAGGAGTTCCTCTTTAGTGTTGAGTTCTTTATCGATCAGTTGTTTAACTGTATATTTTTTTTTTCAGGGATAAGACAGGCAAGTTCCCTGATTATCCAGATGATGATGAAGGAGGTTCAGCTGCTATATTTAAAGAAAAGGATCCTTTGGAGGTTATTCTCAATTTTTGTAATACTGCTATTCCTGTATAATTTTCTGGAACTTACATGTAATTTGATACAGACATCATTGACCACCTCTCATTTTTACTGATTACTGCTATCTGAAATTTAACCCACCAGAAATAATGCAAAATCGTGTCACTGCAAACCATCCCCTGCCCCCTCAGAAAGTGACCATGGATATGGGGTGGGATGGGTGGGATTATGCTGTAAGGGGAAAGAAACCAGATGTAGAGTGTTCAGAAACTAGGATGACTTGATGTTGGTGTGGTTTTTGTGAAGAATAACCTATAATATTTTTTAATTCATCTCTTTTCAGATGGAGAAGGAAGAGGGACAAAAGGTAAACTCACATGTCTCAAATATACAGTATTCTGAGCATTCAGTATTTATACGGTTGTGCAATGATTGGACAAAAGTACCTCTCGTGCATTGCAGTCCATGTAAGAATTTCACAGGACACTTAATAATGACACATTAATAATTACAAGAACCCTTTGAATGAGCCTGTGGGTGGTTTAACTTATAGACACTGACATGTCAATCTTTCTTGGACTAAGTAAATGAGGTTCCACTGTAATTTTGTTGAGTGTGTGAAGTGATATTTCACACAGCGCTCAAGGAATTCTTATGTTACCGTGGTTTATCTCATCACAGGACGAAGATGGAGGGAAGAAGAAAAAAGGAAAGAAGGGAAATAAAGACAAGAAAGAGAAAAAAGACAAAAAGGACAAAAAGGGGAAGAAAGGCAAAGGGAAAGGAAAGGGAGGTGATGAGGTGAGGAGAATCGCTACTGAAGCAGCTAGAAATTAAAATTAGGTGTTACAGTCTCGACAACAGCCACATTGGGGACAGAGGAAAGTGGCCATTTCAAAGAGGTGGCCATTACGGGGAGGTAGGGGTGTTATATGGCACCTGTTCTTTTGAGGGTGCAATTTTTTTCACAAAAAGGCTTATGTTAGCGTATCTAAATCAAAAGGCATCAATAAAACAGAAACTAAACAGAAACAGGGACCAACAATGTGTGGTACTGATCATGTTTGGTGATTTCACAATGAAATAAATGGGGTTTTGTATACATTGCTTGTCAGTCATTGTTTAAATGGCCATTGTCAACAGGTAATTTTGGCAGTTTGGATGAGTTTAAGTGGCCATTGCCATTCTGGAGAGGTGGCTGTTACAGAGAGGTTAAAAATAAGAATGAATGTATGGACTGTCACCCAGGATCAAAAAAGGGGTCTTTGTATAGAGGTGGCTGTTAGTGTGGGTTTGACTGTACATATTTTTAATGTGAAAAGCTAAGTGAAGCTTTTGCATTTGAATTGTTTTCTAGGAGGAAGAGGAAGGAATCAAAATGCAAGTTTCAAACTTTGTACCAACTGTGAATGAGGCAGCTGCTACATACAAAGGTGAGTGTGATTTGATAGTGATGTAAACATGTCTTGTCAGAGCATTTTGGTGATCAGTCACACAATGCATGTAATGTCATGCAAGGCTACCTATTGCACAGTCAGAATCTGTTAAGAACTGCAATATATACATCTTCATTCATAACTTGCAAAATCCTAGTCAGGACAGTTTGCAAGCATTCTAAAAAAATTATAAATAAATTAATCAAAAATCAAAAAATATATATTTCATCATTTCCTTTAGATGTGTGGCAGTTCAGAGATGAGATAAACAATTTTGAGCAGAAGCATGATGCAGAATTGATCAAGGAGGCTAAAAGGTAAAATATAATATTTTCTTTACTAGATTTCTTTAATTTTCTGTTACCCTTTGAGATGATTTCATTTCTGGTAGAATGGGCACCTAACATTGTAGTTTAGCTTCTTATGGTTATTTTAGGTGCCCTGTTACTCAAATATGTTATAATACTTTTTGGATGAGGTACAAATAAACTGTTTGTTGTTGTTGTTGTTGTTGGCTAATGGTGGTACAAGGTAAAGATTAAACCATGTTTTGTGATACTCTGAGTAATTATACCACAAGACTTTAACTGCTTAGGACTAGGGTGTTGTTCTGCCGTTTGCTGTGTGGCAGATGGTGATTTGTGTCATGGGGTTCACTTCTCAAACTTTTAATTTAAGAAAACAGCATTGAATTCCTCCAGTTGCCAAAAAAACACAGTGCAGTAAAATTAAAGGGTTGAAATTTTTGTTTTATATTAAGCTGTTGTCAGCTAAATCTTTTTGTATCTCTTTTAAGAATTGAAGTTGACGAGGAAATTCGGAAGCAGGTCGACGAACTGATGCGACAAGAGCTGAAAAACCTGAAAATGGTTTGTACTGTTAGAGCACTCTCTTGAGTTAATATTTGATAGCAAGACACTGACTGTATTGAAGAAACTAGGCAACCATTTGTGCCAAAAGAAAAGCTTAAAAGAAAGCGTTAGGTCGATGGCAACTGAAAGAGTGGCATGACACTTTTTGCTCTTTAATGTTTTGTAGGCTGTCGATAGAGAGAAAGGAGGTAAAAAAGGCAAGAAAGGAAAGAAAAGTGGAAAGAAAAGCGGCAAAAAGGTAAGCTAATGAGCAGGGAAATGGTTGTGCACGTGCGTTATAAATCCTTGTATATTTCTCAGCCGTCCTCTGCAAAAACCAACGTGAAATGACCGAGTTCTCGGTATTTTGCGTAACGTGAGCAACGACAACTAATTTTCATATTCTTTTGGAGTCGATCGCTGGCGTTACATATTTAGTTTGAACAAGTTTTAAACCTATCGGTGGGCTGAACAGATCTAGATAATTGCGAAATTCAAAGGTAAAATTTACATCCCTGTTTTACTAGGCGTCGTCCTAGCTCTCTTAAGTCTGCGGTATGTTAACGAACTGTAGTATATGGCATACTTGGAAACTGAACTATACAATGTACATGTGGTGTCTTATAAGTGCAAACTTTGACTCGCTTCTATTTTCTTCAGAAAAAGAAGAAGAGTGGGAAGAAAAGCGGAAAGAAGGGAAAGAAAAAGAAGAAGGAAAAGGATTTAACGTCTGATAGGTCGGTTCAACATTTGAATTCTCACTATTTTTCCATAAATTTTGTATTATTTCCCCTTGAGAGAATTTGGTGTTTGGTTAAGAGGTACTTTGTCACTGATATCTCTACCTTGTAAGAGGAAAGGAAGGACTAGGAGGGAGGGGTCTCTTCCCATCCTGGCCGGGTAGTGGGGGGAGGGGGGGGAGGGGCGATGTCTTTCTATTCTGCCGTTTCTCTCGCAAAGTATATGTTATGAGACGTTATTCCTCCCTGTTCAAATAATCTTTTCACGAAAATGTCACACTGTAATATCACACTCGAGGAAACAATTTCCCGTCCAAGGAGAAGCTGTCATTCTTCGGAGAGAGTATCGTTAGTTTTATAGATTGAAACAGCAACCATTGATACAACAAAAACAACATTTATTTGTACTTCACGGTACAGCACTGACGATCTCTGACTTCACCACTTCGTTTTATTTTAGAACCATGGAGTCGCTTTACGAAGAACTGGTCCATGAAGGGATTTTAGTGCGAGCTCCAAGGATAAGACTTAGTGAATACACTGGAGAATACAGGTACAAATAAACGTGATTCTTACATTGCGGCTAATGGTTAAATGGTCTAGCTATTGCTTGTTGTTTGACTGTCGTTTTTAACGCGCTATGTAGGACAAATGTGATGCATCTCTTAGCAATACTGTGCACACATAGCAATTTTCGTGGACAATTCTGTCTAAGGGGGAAAGGCGCAACACTATGTGAAGCACCAACCTGTGAGGCAAGACCAGACCACAACACCGGGAGCTACATGTCCAACTCTTTGCGATAAGTGTTTGGGTTCTTTAACGTCCCCTGCTAACCATGTAACACTCAAGAAGCAGGAGACGGGCCCTACGGTTTATAGTCCTTATCCAAGAAGACTTGAACGTCTAACCATTTGCAGATGTAATAACAAAGGTAACGAATTTTCGTAAGCTCGGAAACCAATAAGCCAGGAGAGCGACCGAACACTGACATAAAATAAACTACAGTTCAACTCAAACGTCTGAATTTTACTTGTAAACGTTACAACAGTTACACGACAGTTCTTTACAGTCGACCAATCACGCGCGTTCTGAAAGGTGCTCAGTCACGGTATTTTGAGTTATTTTGGCCACATACAAAATTACCTTTAAATGGTAGGAAACCTGAAAATAACAGTTTAATAAGATAGAAAAACACCAAAGACATAATGATAAACCATAACGGAACAAGGATGGCTGAGGATGGAGAAGATTAACACGGATTTCAAACGACGAATTTGAACAATTGAGGCTAAACTTTTCAATATGCGCAAACCCTGACTGAGCTCCTTTAAAGCGTACGTCACGTTGCGTCAAGTCACGGGCGTGAAAGTGTCAGAAATTCAATTATTAAGCAAAATGGTGCACATGTACTTAAACCGAGATTGCTGTTTTTGTTTTATTGTAGTTACCTTGGCACTACTCTCCGTCAAGCAAACATTGAACCTATGCCGTCCATATCTGATGTGAGAAGAGTCATCACGGAATTTGCTATATTACCATTAGGTAAATGTAGAATTAGAACACAGTTTTGGTTTTTCTTGGAAAAAAATCTAAAACTGCATGGTTGCCACAGATCAGGAAATGGTCAGGGTAGAAGTATTCTTCAAGGTCAGGGAAAAGTCAGGGAAATATATTTCTGGTTACTGTGATCTCAACGATGTTTCTCCGTAATAAAGAAGGCGAATTGTGAAAAACTCGTCATTCTGACATTTTATATTTATTTGCTTAGGGAAGTTTTATTTTGTCAGGGAAAAGTCAGGAAATTAGTCGGAAGTTTAAAAAGTGATGTCTGTGGCTACCATGCCACTTACATAAGCATCAACGTATCTGTTCAAACTGTAATACGGTTTTTGCGATTTTTCTCAGGATCCCAAGCCGTACACGAGAAAGCGCCTTTCGTTAAGTCTGTTCTGATTGCTGGCCCGCGAGGTGTGGGAAAGAAAATGTTGGTGCATTGTATCTGTACGGAGACTGGGGCCAACATGTTCGACTTGACCGCTGCCAACATCGCGGGCAAATATCCCGGGAAGGCTGGGCTCCAGATGATGATGCATATGGTATTTAAGGTATGTTCACGTGATCATTACTTACGCTTGAAGTTGTATAACAAACACGAGAGATCGTGTCTTATCTCATTTCCCATCATTGAGGTGTTTGAAAATGTGTTAAAGCACTGTCTTGAGTGTTTGATATATCGTCTTTACTAATTGAAACTTAAGCTGAGAAGAAAACAGAAAAAAAATCGTAAGAATCTTTGCCAATCACGATCATATATCAAACACCGTGAAGATTACAATTTGCTGAATTATTACATGTAATGAGTTTGAGGCTGGAAGCAAATTTCCGTGAAGTTTCAAGTGAAGCTTAACTGTAATACCCCTAATGCTCAATGCCTCAAAGATATTTCTTGGATCAGTAATTTTCACATTTTTTTGGAATTTTTTCCGAGCCTGAAGACTTTCTGTTGTTTTCTCTTACCTCATTACATTTATCGAGATCTTATGATTTTAAGCTGAGTAAGCTTCTCAGTAAAGAGCAGGACAAAGCATTCTCTTTAAGCTCTCAGTTATTGGTATGTGTCAGAGGATAGGGGACGGTTTGGGAGTATTTTCTTGTGAGTTGAATTGGGTATCAATTCTGAACGAAAAAATAAAAACCAGTTTTTCACCGTTGTGTGATAATTGAGTTTGATCTTAAACAGTGCTTACAAAATGGCCTTAAAACTTCGACGGGGCCAAGGATCAAGGGCCTCAGCAGCACTACCCAACCCACCTCCCTTCTGTCCGTCTTTATGGTCTATATTCCTTTTTGATGTGTAGGTGGCCCGTCAGCTACAGCCGTCGGTTGTGTACATTGGAGATGCCGAGAGAACCTTTGTTAAAAAAGTTCCCAAGACTGACAAGGTAATGCGAGTATTAACTTTAATTTCTATGGTTTTCCATCAGTTATTCAAAAGCAGAGATCCTTGACACTTTCACGCGATATCCGCGCACAAAGTGAGGATTCTTAGTTGGGAAGTTAGTTGACACAGTATGAACTTAGTTGTATTTCCTTACTCGTCTCCCCCCCTTTTCCAAAAGTTTCATTTTGTCTCTCTTTTACGGTATGTCTGCATAGTTATGAAAAAGGAAAATTGATTTACACTGTCCGAACTTAGTAGGCCACTTCCGAGCTGTCTTTTACCTCTATGTCAAAACGAGTCTTCTTGCGAAACCATTCATATGAAAATGTGTTCCGCCTACAGGTTCATTCTCGTGTAAAATCAAACTCATTTCCGTATGAATATTATGCAGCATAAGATAACTCGGATATGGCCTGTTGTATTTGCTTACTAGTCTGGCCATCATTTGTCCTCCCCCACCGCCCCCCCACCCCACCCCTCCGCCCTCTACATTTTTTTTCCAAAAGTTTGATTTTATTCATGTTATTTTTTTCTGTTTGCAGACCGACCCCAAGCGACTGAAGAAAGATTTACCGAAGATTTTGAAAACTCTTAAACCTGAAGATCGAGTGCTTATTGTGGGAACCTCGCGAATGCCTTTCGGTATCCTTTAAACCTTTTACTTGAAACAAACTAGAGCAGTTAAAAGTTTACCCTAAATTTTAGAAGTTCGTTGTTTGTAATCCATGTTAATCTTCTCCATCCTTAACCATCCTTGTTCCTTTATGGTTTAATATTATCTCTTTAGTGTTTTTCTATCTTCGTAAACTGCAATTTTCAGGTTTCCTTCGATTTAAAGGTAATTTTGTACGTGGCCAAAATAACTCAAAATATCGTGACTGAGCCTCTTTAAGAAATTGAAAACGCCTCGATCAGTGCCTTTTTTATTCCTTTTGTATTCCTTGACTGACCAAAGATGGTGAGATCAAACCATTCTGCGGCATGTACCAGAAGATTCTGCTTCTGCCAAGACCTGACTATGCTTCAAGATTCTGTAAGAATACTACAGTTCTTTCCAATTCATAAGTCGAACGATGAAGTCCTAAAACTAATCGGAAAAAACTCCTTTCGCGGAGGCAGCGTGGCCGGGCCAGCGCGTCGGACTCGTAATCCAGCGGTCCCGGGTTCCGTTCCGCTCCGACAACGTCGTGGATTTGTTTCACGGTAGCCCCGAGTTCAAATCCTCGGCCACTATTCTAAAGAATGCTTTGTACAAACATTTTGAATTAAGTCAGCTTAGAAGAAGAACAAAAAGGTTTCTTCTCCTTTGACAAGGGTGTTGTAAACTCTTGACCAATCATGGTCAACTCTTGACCAATCACAGTGGACATAGCTACTAAATGTCAGGATATGGCGGGAAAACTCATGCCGAAGTGTTTTTCGCTGAAGAATATCAATTAGTTGTAGTTCTAGTTTTTTCGATTAAGGTATTTCGCAATACAGGTCGATGGCTGAGATTGGCTTAGTTTTGTAGTCGACCTTTCAGAATGCATTTGTCTTGTGTTTTTAGTGCTGTGGAAAACGCTGGTCGCAAGGTACGGTGGGCGCGTCACGGAGGCGTTAGATGCGAGTTCGCTGGCCAAGATAACTGACGGCTACACACCAGGTCACATGGTACAGGCCATTCAACAGATTCTTACCGAGAGACGCATTCAGCAGGTATGTAACGACTGAGAAACAACGAATCACCAAAGTTAGTATCACCCAGCTAGTAGACTAATGCAAATCCTGCATTTTAATAGTCCTCGAGTGGCGAAATTGGCGCAATCGAACGTGACGCTTTCTTTCGTTTTATTCCCAAATAAATATTTCTTCAACTTGCATTTGCTAGCTTTATTATTGTCTCTTCTGTCCGACCAGTTGGGTGATACTAAAACAATTAGACCCTTCGCCCTCAAGGGCCACGGGTCAGTAGCCCTTGCGGGCTACGGGTCTAATCGTTAAATAGTCACTAGACAATTTACATTCATGTACTGATTATAACTCTTACTTGTTTGTCCGGCAGCTGTCGAAGAGACCCTTGACAGCAGTGGAGTTTGTAGCGCCTTTGGCTCGTATCGACCCAATTTACAAAGAGGAAGAGGAAGCTTTCAAGGTAATAAAAATTTAATCCTGGTGATTTCGCCCCGTTACAGCGTGCTGATTTAGTCCTTATTCTCCTTTTACCTCGTGGATCGTAGACGGAAAACGCGAGCAAGAAACGCTTATTCGCAATGTGCCACTGTTCCCACATCTTGCGAAGAGATCGTACTGCAATCATTTCTGCAACTTTTGATAAGCCGTGTCAGGTTTTTTCAGTGTTGGACTATCAGTTCCCCCTATTTATCTTTCATTCAAAACAGAAGGGGTAGAGACGTGGGGCAGGGTGGGGGAAAGGTGTTGAGGATAGCTGTATCACAGTTCATTTAATTCGTGATTTAACCAAGACTGCGAGAAAGACAATCGATATCCATTTTTCTTTCCCAGACATGGTACGCAAAGACACCGCTAGGAAAAAAACGAGCGAAGGCTGCGGCAGGGGATGACGAGGGAGACAAAAAGGGAAAGAAAGGAGGAAAGAAAGGAGGCAAGAAAAAGAAGAAATAAAGTCATTCAAACAAAGTGAGAGGAAGGAAAGAGTTCTGGAAGTCAAGAGTTTCTACAGTGTATATGTGCTGTTGTAAATATGCCGAAGAGCGTGCACCGAACTGTAAATAGTGGAATCATTGTAAACGTGTTTAATAAATGATCCTTTTCGAATTTGTCATGTAATGTGAAAATTTTTCATTCAAGTGTTAGAAGCCACCCTAACTTGCTTTGGCTTTCTTGATGATCCAAACAGGAGTCTGCTCGCTCGCAGGCTATTGCCAATAGAGAGATTAAGCATGACGTTATGTCAGACGGTAAACGGTAAAAATGAAACTTGTCTTCAGCTGTCTATACAGTAGTGTGAAAATATTTGTATTTGCTGGGAATAGTAGGAGACATTTTTCTATTTTTGTGTGATTTAGTTAAGGATTAGAAGAAAAGAACACAAATTCAGAGGTAATCTTTGCCGTTTGCCGTCTGCTGTAAACGTCCTGCTTAAACTCTCTAATATTATAGTACAGAACATCCTTTACAACCAAGGCCGGAACGATCAATGAATTTATTGCTTGTTTCATTTCACCCTACAGCAAAAATAGATCTGTACCTTCCTAACTATATTTCGTATGCAACTACTGTAGTAAATGGCTTGATATTCGCACCATGTTATCGGCTTGTACAAGTTGTCCTTGACCTTAATTAACAAAAGTCCAGAGAAATTTTTAAAAAGCTAACAAAACCTACGTATAGGTGAATTATTTATTGTCGAGTTGAAAAGTTGAATATTGTTTCTTGATGGTCGTAATAAATACCAGCGCAGTGATTATGTAGCGCATGGTCAGAGATGTGAGACCGCATCCTTTACAGGCTTTTGACGGTCTTGATGATGTGCTTGGCACTGATTCCATACAAATCAAGCAAGGCGTCCCCAGGCCCACTGCGAGGAATTTTGGGCACGGCCAACATACGCACGGTGATTCCAGTCTCCTCTGCCACGGCGGCACAGACAGTTTCACCAATGCCCCCTGGAATTACAAAATACAAACAAAAATTCAAAGGGTGTCTAATGGGGGCTTTGCTGAGACGAAAGAATCGTCCCTCTCCGCTTTAACAACCCGAGAAAGAAATGTTTTCGGCAAACACGCGGTTACTTCTGATATGTAAAGTCGCTTAGCAACCACTCACGAAAACCGCAGGCTCAGGCAATGTTTGGACGTCGTGCGTTTCGAAAAAGGCGGGAAATTCAAAACGCGAAAATGTTGCAAGGCTGATCATTTTCCAGAAGCAATGTAAACACATTTACCTTCAATGTAGTGGTCCTCTACTGTCAAAATTTTGCCTCCAACAGCCTTGGCGTGTGTAATTATGGCTTCTTTGTCGATTGGCTTCAGGGTGAAAGGGTCCATGACTCTAATATGGGTGCCTTCCTTGGCAAGCTCATCGGCTGCCTTAACTGCTTCGATCAGAGTGACGCCAGCTCCGATAACAAGCACCGAATCTTTCTCGTGCTCACGAACAATCTACGAAAAGAAATAGAGTAAACAAGACTTTTCTTGGCATCAAGCAGAAATAACTACGTTGAACTTTGCCACCCATTTTGTAGCGCTGTGACAAAGTGCATGGAAAAGAATATTTCTCAATGAAAGCAAGAAGATAAAGTAAGCCATTTGTCAGACAAAACCGCATGCAGTATTAAAAGACATTACATGCACGAGGTAAGTCAAATGTTCACCCCATGAGATGTGATGCAAAATATACCTCTGCTTCGTCTACAATACTTTGTATGAATGAAATGTGTTTACACTTTCAAAATGAGGAAAAGGGACCGGTATTCGGCCGACAAACGGCTGATAGCAGACCAACAGTAGGCCGAAAGTTTTTCGAGGAAGATATTCTCATGTTACAAAATCATCTCCAAATGTACTACGCTTGAACAAAGTAAGCTTACAGTGGAAACCCGATTTCTCGAACCCTCGAGTTTTCGAACCTCCCGATAACTCAAACCAAAAGTTGTGTCTCTATCCTCAGTCGCACAATGTAATTTTACCCCCGATTTCTCGAACTAACCGATTTTTCAAACCAATTTTCGTTTCCCTTGGAGGTGCGTAAAATCGGAATCCCACTGTCCTCCCTTCTAACATACTTAAAAATATTTATGAGTTTGTACCATTACCTTGGCTTTTCCAATCGCAAAGGGTTCGTCATTCTTGTAGATGATCGGAGTGTTACCCCGTGTGGCCCTGATGTAAGCCATGTCTTTGTAGTTCGCTGACAGTTCAACGGCGCGTTCACACGAGACACCATCGCTTGGGTAAAACACCACACAGTTAGGTATTGAACGGAACATACCAAGGTCCTCTAAGGCCATCTGTGAAGGCCCATCCACACCTGATGAACAAAAGCAGTAAAAAATCTTGGAAAAAAGCTTGCCTTAGAGGAGCTAGTCGTCACGGTTTGCGCATGTTAAATAGTTTCGCCTAGATCTTTCAAGTTTGTGGTTTGTAATCCGTGTTAATCTTCTCCATTCTACACCATCCTTGGTCTTTTATGGTTTATTATTATCTCTTTGGTGCTTTTCTATCCTAGCAAACTAAATTTTCAGGTTTCCTTCAACTTAAAGAAAATTTTATACGTGGCCAAAATAACTGAAAATGCCGTGACTAAACATCCTTAGATGAGGTATTGGGCACCCCCTCTCCTCCCCTCCCCCCTTGTTGGGTAAGGCAGGAAATGCAGGGATTCTTTACAGAAAACTAATGCATTTCCTGGAATTCTTTCAGCCAAAGATTTCTAAATACAGCAATCTTGAGAGGTTAGACACATTTTCAATGGATTCTTTTAGGGTAAAAATAACACCAACCAATCCTTGGGTGGTGAAGATTTTCAATGCATCATAGCCCAATCCCTTGTGAGGATTCTTTCTTTACAGGACCTCCACCCCCCAACCCCTGCCCCATCCCCACAACTACTGTAGGATGAATTGACTCTCCTCTTAGAAAAATACCTTTTTTAATATAGGTGATTATGGGACCAGGGAAAGTCCTATAGCTGGGTTTTGAAAGCAGAGGGTGCAAAAAAAGTAAACTTGATAAAATTTAGGACAGTGCTGTCACTTACCAATGGACACACCACAATGAGATCCACAGAAGTTGGCAGAAGTCTGGGAAACAGCTGCCATTCGTAGATGGTCAAACGTGCGTGTGAAAAAGGCGGCAAATGTACTGGAGAAGGTGATGGCACGCTCACGTGCAGCGCACCCCATGGCAACACCTATCATGTTCTGCTCAGCAACAAAGCATTCAATATGCCGGTCAGGGAATTCTTTCCTGTAGTTAAGGGAGAAGGTGGAGTTTTTTGTGTCTCCATCCAGGGCAATGACACGGTCACAGCTTTTGCCAAGCTTTACAAGGCCATTGGCATAGGCCTGACGAACAGCAACCTACAATATAATATGGAGACGCACTATCATGAATGATCATGTGATTTCAAAAGGTCCAAAGCCAGAAGACAAAACTTTACATCAGATTTACCTTAAAAAATGGTCCAGTTTTGTCAAAAATTACTTTGCTAGTTCACCAACACTAAAAAAGGCAACTTGGGGTAACTCTTAAGGTGCCAAATGACAGCCAGCAAGCTTGCTGTTTTCTTAGCTGCATCCCTGACCAAGTGTTAGCTTTAAAACAGGCTTTATCTTGTTCAAAGATATGGCAAGCCTACCTACCTTATCTCCTATTTTGTAGTTTGGTGGCTCTGATAGTTTGACAGTGAGATCAACTGTAGGAACATCATCAGTTACGGGCTGAGGCCTCAAGGCGAGCGAGTCATTGACTATGGATTTTTTAATTAACTCCACAGCTGCTTTGCCTTTTTCGCCAAGGGCTTTACCATGATAACCCTCCAGGTCTTCAACTCCTATAATAAATAGGTGAAGTCTGAGATTTAATGTTTTGCCAACAATCTGTTGAGTGATTTTCTTTAATAGTGGGAGACTTAATAGAAATATTTTGTGACAATTGTCTTTCTCAAACGTTTGCTTGAAAATGGCAACTTGACGATTTCCAAACACTCTTTAACACTTTTTTCTTATTTTCATAGTAAAAAGCTTTCTACAAGCCCTGCTCAGTTATTCAATCTTAAAGATAGCAAACTTATTTTACCTGGAACACCTTTTCCTTTGTAAGTCTTCGCTAAAATAGCAGTGGGACGATCTTTGCATTCATTGGCTTCATAGAATGCACGACAGACCTGTTCAACATCATGGCCATCTATTTCAATGGTGTTCCACCTGGACAACATAAGTTCATAATTTAGAGAAGTTACTATGCTGAAAACAGCTGAATACTTTACTGAATGGTGAAAAGTGGGGATCACAAAATGACAAGTGCCACCAGTGCCAAATAACAAATCCACTCACCCAAAAGCTTCAGTTCTTTTCTTGTAAGTAGCAAAGTCATGTTGAAGCATGGTAGGGTCACTCTGCCCAAGACGGTTGATGTCAAAGATGGCACAAAGATTGTCCAGTTTGTAATGACTTGCAAAGTTCATGGCTTCCCAAACAGATCCCTCAGCTGACTCTGCATCACCAATCACACAGAACACACGGTAACTGAGAAAAAAGATTAACATCAAGACATTAGAGACAATTGAGCTGAATTTGTGTACCATAATGATTCAGGTTCAAATCCTCTTCAAGTTCTTTGGTTACATCCTCAGAGTAAATGTGAACCAACACCACAAGATTTATGGTAATAATTTGGGCTCTGGAGAAAGAGAAGATGTGGTAGACCAAGTGACACCTGCCACAGAACCAGAGA